TTAGTTTAAAGGTAATTTTTAGAAAGCGCAATAAATAAATCACCAGGTGGTAACCTCTGTTCTAGAGGAAAAAGAAACTCGTGGAAACTATGGTGCTGCAAGATTACATAAAAGATTGCAAGCGCCTGCTTCTGGGTGCTTTGGATCGGCGAAGAAAAACATTGAGGATGGATTTACTCTGGGACCTTAATCTTTACAAACTCATTCATGTCTCAATAGGTGTGATACTGTGTGCTAAGTTAGTGTGCAAAGGGGATTTAAGATATTTTTAAGAATGTAAGAAGAGCCTGCTGGATCAGGCCAATGGCTCATCTAGTCCAGATCCCTGTTCTCACAGGGGCCAACCAAATACATGTGAGAAACACACAAGCAGGATTCAAGCACAAGAACACCCGCCCCTCCTGCATTTCCTAGCAACTGGTATTCAGAAGCGTTATTGCCTCTCACTGTGTAGGTAGGGCATAGCCAGCATGGCTAGTAACCATTGATAGCATTACCATTCATGAATTTGTCCAATCCTCTTTTAAAGCCATCTGGATTGGAGGCCATCACTGTCTCCTGTGGGCATGAATTCTATAGTTGTGTGAGGACGTACTTTCTTTAATTTGCCCTGAAACTTCCAACATTCAGCATTATTGAATGCCTATGAGCTCTAGATGCTTTTGAATTATGGTGCTGGAAGAGACTCTTGGGAGTCCCATGGACTGCAAGAAGATCAAACCTCTCCATTCTTAAGGAAATCAGCCCTGAGTGCTCACTGAAAGGACAGATCCTGAAGCTGAGGCTCCAATACTTTCCCACCTCATGAGAAGAGAAGACTCCCTGGAAAAGACCCTGATGCTGGGAAAGATGGAGGGCACAAGGAGAAGGGGACGACAGAGGACGAGATGATTCGCAAAGCTACCAGCATGAGTTTGACCAAACTGCGGGAGGCAGTGGAAGACAGGAGTGCCTGGCGTGCTCTGGTCTATGGGGTCACGAAGAGCCGGACACGACTAAACGGCTAAACAGCAACATGAGTTCTAGTGATATGAGAGAGGGAGAAAAACTTTTATCTATCCACTTTCAAGCATAGTCTTACGAATTTGTATTGTTTCAACTCTCACTCACCTTTTCTCCAAACTGAAATGCCCCAAATGAAATGACCTAGATGGTGTCACAAAAAGGGTCCTGACTGAATAGTTAGTGTGAGGAAGATTTGGCTTATGATCAGATGTGATCAGAAGGGGGTAAGGGTCCAGGCTGCAGCTGGTGTAACAGGTGGTTTATGTTATTTTTACATTTATACACCTCCTTTCCTCCAAGGGGTTCAAGGTAGTGTACATCGTTCCCATTTTCATATCCTACAACATTTCTCTGATAAAAATAGGAACGTCCTATTCAATAATAATACTAATAATTATAATTATACCTCACCCATCTGACTAGGTTGCCCCAGCCACTCTGGGCAGCGTCCAACATATATAAAAATATAGTACATTATTAAACATTAAAAACCTTCCCTATACAGAGCTGCTTTCAGATGGCTTGGGGGTCACATAACTCCATACCCTCCAACATTTCTCCGATGAAAATAGGGACGTCCTAAGGAAAAGTGGGACACTCTGGGATCAAATCAGAAACTGGGACGGCTTCTGTAAATCTGGGACTGTTCCTGGAAAATAGCGACACTTGGAGGGTCTACATTTTATCCTCACAACAACCCTGTGAAGTGGGTTGGGCTGAGAGTGAGTTATTGGCTCAAAGTCACCCATGGTTGAGTGCAGATTTGAACCCTGGTCTCCCAGGTTTTAGTCCAACACTCCAGCCACACTGCACCAACACTCACCCAGAAATCTGCCAGTAGATCCCAATTTACATTCTGACCACTTCCATATTGGACTGCTCTTCATCACGTCAGAATCACAGAGCACCTTCCAAAACGTTAAAGAGAGCAACATGCCATTTAAATACTCAATAAACACAATTCTACTCCATATAATTAAAGGACACATGCTGCTTTAACAGTCACAGCTTCTCCCAAAGAATCTTGGGAACTGTAGTTTGCTAAGGATGCTGAGAGTTATTAGGAGACTCTGACAGAGCTACAATTCCCAGCAGCCTTGACAAACTACAGAGAATATGTCAGTTTTGGTTTTTCTGTTTCTAATTGTTTCAGTCTTATGTTCAGTCCTCCACCTTTTCACATCAGTTTTAGATTTTCCTTTTTGAAAGCCCTCATGGAATTTCATCAACATTCTAGTGCCATTTTCTTCAAATAAATGCATTTTTGCAAAGTAGTTTCCTGCAATGTAATGCAATTTTGAATATTATTTTCACTAATATGTGCACTTTACCCTAGTGTATGCATTTTGTACATATTACTTGGCTGCAGATCTGCTTTGCAATATTCACAGAAATGCAAATTTCAACGTATCGCTGTTTGAGTTTGCATATTGTTTTGGAAAGTGAATTAGGTGGGCTTGCCTTGAAAAGCAAACAGACTCAAATTCCTCTCCCCCTCCTATGTTTGTCTGAGAGGGGTCCCAAAGCATAGGTTCTGCGGCACTAAATTGCTTGCGACGTTTCTGAGAGAAGTTGGTGAGACAAAACAGACAGCCCTCCATGTCAGCGACAGCTGCCTATTTATCGTTATTATAGATCCAGCCTCCATTTATACAAGATGCAACCCTTCTACCTGGAGGGATACCTATAGTGCCCAAATGAGCACTTGTATATATCAGCAATCGAAACTGCAGAAGGGGTGGGAGAACATAACCTTCTCACAAATTCAGGCAGGAGGGGGTGAGGGGGAAGCTCAGAAAATAGCTCAAATGTAAGGTTAATTGGAGCCAGAAATGTCAAACTAATGTAGCAATTTACCCTGGGAGATCGTCCTGGCCTTTGAGTATAGCAGTAGTATACACTACAGAATAGAAACGGGAAGAAATATAATAGGATTTTATGTACTCTCCTGTCATATTAACCATCCTTGGCAATTAATTTCTCATTGTGATGATACTTTGTGCTTTCTCTCTCTCTCTTTGTGTGTATAAAACATGGGTCCAGGATATCTTAAGGACTGCCTGATCCCCCATACCCTGGCCTGATTACTGAGATCTTTTGGAGGGGAGGGAGTCTCTGTTTGTGGTCCCCTGTGGCTCAGATGCATAGCTCGTAACTACCAGAAGCTTATGCATTCAGTTTGCTCAAACTCCTTCCCAAATGAGATTAGACAGGCACCCTCCTTGATGAACTTCAGGCACAGCTGGACTAAGACTTTCTTGTTACATCAGGCATGTTAATGTAGTGCTCGGTTTCATGATGCATCTATTGTGTATTGTTTCATTGCCCTGTTTTCTGAGGATTGTTTTTACGCATTTTATTATTATGTGATTAATAAAGCAGTGTAGAAATGGGATAGAACTTTTTTTCATAACCTTTATATACTGCTTGGTTATATTTTTTACAGTGTACAAAAAGAAAGAAACGATGAAATTACCAATAAAAGCAGTTGAAAATAATTATTTAAAACACTCAGAAATAATTAAAACAAATGATAACCTAAAAGCCTTTAAAATGTTTTAAAGCAGACATGGGAAAAATGTGTGTGTGTTTAACCTATTTATACACCTTGCATGTTCTTTAAAGTTACTAGGGCTGGGCAATATATCAATATATTGTCCAAAACCGGTTTGAAGTCTATATCGTGATATTGGTTTCATAATTTTAGGCTTGGCGATATATCACAAACCATGATATGTCTGTGTGTGTGTGTGGGAGAGAGAGCTAAGCAAAAATCACAATGGGGGGGAAACCGTGAAGCCAGCTAATGTCTCTACATAGCTCTATCCTTATTTCAGACGTTGTGGTATTTCAGTAAATTGTGGTGTTATCTGCTGGATATATCACAATGCTGAAAACCAGACATCGCCCAGCCGAAATAAATACCACAGACAGGATGTGGTATTTGCAGGATGTGATACCACAGATAGGATGCGGTGATTGTAGGTCACACAAGGGAATTCAGTGTAAAAAGCATTAAGCATAGACATTTTGAGGTGGTGGGGAACAGCCAGGACTTGTTTTTTTCCAGCCAGAACTTGCCAGAACTCAGTTCTGGCACCTCTCAGGTGGGCACCATTGCCATTCCAAGAAAATGAGGGAGGCGAGTCCAGAAGTTCTTTTTCTAGAAAAATAGCACCGGGAACAGAGGTACTTATAGAACATCTTGAGGGCACCACGTGTTGCAAGTCCCCTGCTACTCAGTGTTGGCATTTGAATCAATGGCTCGAGGCACAACAAATGGAACTGGATTTGTGACCATCATGTTGGGCTGGTAATTGTGCTGTTTCAAAGACGTTGAAAGTGTTATGTACTGAAGTTCTCACCCTGGGCCAGCAGGGGGATACTGTAGATAGTTTTCACGCAGGTCCACATATGCAAATAAGGGATTGAAAGTGACTTTCAGTGATTGGATAGTTACAGAAAGTTGTTACAGTTGCGTTGTACTGGAGCTCTATATAAGCAGGCTGGCTGAACCCTTCAGTTCAGTTCTGTTCTGGCCTGTGAATAAACAAGAGCTGTTTGAAGAATCGCTGTGTCGTCTGATATGTTCACCCACAACTTAACAGAAAGAGCAGCTGATTTGCGTGGAGAAGGCCCCAGGCTCAATCCCTGCCATATCCGGGTAGGAATGGGAAGACACCCTGTCCGAAATCTTACAAGAGGTGCTGCCAGTCATTGTTGACAATACTGGCGTAGATGTACCAAGGTCTGGCTCAGTATCAGACAGTTTCTTATGTTCGTGACCACATCCTACTAGGAACAACAAGGAATTTTGTGTCACTGTAAATGTATTATGGCATAAGCTTTTTTCGGACTAGAGTCTACTTCATTGCATGCATGAAGCTGCTTGATCTTGAGTCAGACCAGCTGGTCCACCTAGCTCAATATTGCCTACATTGACTGGCAGCAGATCTCCAGGTTTCCAGACAGGGAGCATTCCCAGCCGTAACTACTGGAGTTGCCAGGGCTTGAACCTGGTAACATCTGCATGCAAAGCAGAAGCTCTATCCCTGAGCTACCTCCCTTCCTCAAAGTGTGTGTGTGTGTGTGTGTGTGTGTGTGTGTGTATGGGATGGGGATTGAAAACTGTGAGGTCAAAGGGAAAATGGACTCAAAAAGGATGGTGACAGTTCAATTAGAGCTTGCATGCTGGAAAATAAATACCCGTCACGATAGCAGTGATAGGTGATAACACAATCCGCTTAGAGATGTAGATTTAGTTAATATCTGTAGATAGAATCCAACTTGATAAATACATACATGGGTAAAAGCCACTACTCCCCATGAGCAACCTAATCTGGATTATCCATCCCCGCTCTGTCTCTTTATGAAAAAAACAACCCTGCACTTAATGGTTGAGCTACATAACTAATGCCTACCTATGGCCCTTGGTGGGCGAAACAACTCATGCTGCCCTGTCAGCCCTGCTCTGCTTTGCGATGCTGCAGGGCTGTGCGAGAAGGACGCAACAGTCATGTGACCTTCCTGATCAGGGTGCTTTCCGGTTGTGTCCTCCTCACACAGCCCTGCAGTATTGCAAGTAGCACAGAGCTGGCAGGCCAGCGTGAGTGTGCCCTTCAGGTGCATGCCTGTTGCGCCCACCAAGGGCCGTAGGCATGGGCGCATGCAGCACCCCAGGGCACACACATGCCACTCTATGCCACTGGGCTCAAGAGATGTCAGAACCCAGAAGCTGCCACCACAGCGGTTCCTGCTCACTTCCCCAGGATCAATGAGAGCATGGTGTGTGTGTGTGTGCGTGCGCACGCGCTCCCTGCCGCAGGAAAAGTGAGGAGAAGCGAGCTGTGGTGGTTTCCAGTGAGAACTTGCCAGAAGTCACTGACACATCATGCCTCCTTGCTTCTTTGGTGGTGACCTGATCAGATGAATAGGAGATTGTTGTTGTCGTTTAGTCGTGTCCGACTCTTCGTGACCCCATGGACCAGAGCACACCAGGCTCTTCTGTCTTCCACTGCCTCCTGCAGTTTGGTCAAACTCATGCTGGTAGCTTCGAGAACACTATCCAACCATCTCGTCCTCTGTCGTCCCCTTCTCCTTGTGCCCTCAATCTTTCCCAACATCAGGGTCTTTTCCAGCGAGTCTTCTCTTCTCATGAGGTGGCCAAAGTATTGGAGCCTCCGCTTCACGATCTGTCCTTCCAGTGAGCACTCAGGGCTGATTTCCTTAAGAATGGATAGGTTTGATCTTCTTGCAGTCCATGGGACTCTCAAGAGTCTCCTCCAGCACCATAATTCAAAAGCATCAATTCTTCAGCGATCAGCCTTCTTTATGGTCCAGCTTTTCACTTCCATACATCACTACTGGGAATAGGAGATAACAGACCATAAATTATAGCTAGGCATATCTTCTGGCACTCAAAAAGGCACTGGATGCCAGCCAGAGGATAGCAGTGGGCTGGGCCCTCTTGCAGCTGTAGGAGTCTGGTGCACACTCCACATGGACTGGGAACTTGAAACCAACCATCTCATCCTGAAATGCCAAGGAGCGATTTTTCAGTTTGCATTCCTTTTTTTTTTTTAATATAATATTTATTGGTTTTACAAAAATTCCAAAACATACAAAAATACAAAAAATCCAAAGACAAAAAAACAATAACTGTGACAAAAGGAAAACAAAAAGTAACAATAACCATAAAAAAGAAAGAAAAAAGAGAGAAAACAAAAAAAAGAAACAGAAAAATTTAAAAATTTATACTTTCATTTAACCTTCTTATCTTTCCTTAGTTCTTTGACTTCCCCGCACCTCCCCACTTGTATTTCCATTTAAAGACTCCTTTCAGCAAATCCTTACCCTCCTTCCTTTATCTTAACTCAAGAAACTTAATCTATTTATAAATAGATATTTTTGCAACCTTGTCAATCAAATATTCCATACTCTTAAACGCAAGGCTTTTGCCAATACCAGTTATTTTCAATCAGACCTCAATTTAACATTCATTAATTTTATAGTATTTCTGTAGATAGTCTTTAAATTTCTTCCAATCTTCTTCCACCGACTCTTCTCCCTGGTCACGGATTCTGCCAGTCATTTCCGCCAATTCCATATAATCGATTACCTTCATCTGCCATTCTTCCAGAGTGGGTAAGTCTTGTGTCTTCCAATACTTTGCGATAAGTATCCTTGCTGCTGCTGTTGCATACATAAAGAAAGTTCTATCTTTCTTTGGCACCAATTGGCCAACAATGCCCAGGAGAAAGGCCTCTGGTTTCTTTAAGAAGGTATACTTAAATACCTTTTTCAACTCATTATATATCCTTTCCCAGAAGGCCTTAATCTTTGGGCACGTCCACCAAAGGTGAAAGAATGTACCTTCAGTTTCATTACATTTCCAACATTTATTATCGGGCAAATGGTAGATTTTTGCAAGCTTGACTGGGGTCATGTACCACCTGTACACCATTTTCATTATATTCTCTTTTAAAGCATTACATGCTGTAAACTTCGTACCTGTGGTCCATAACCGTTCCCAGTCAGCAAACATAATGTTGTGTCCAACATCCTGTGCCCATTTAATCATAGCAGATTTTACCGTTTCATCCTGAGTATTCCATTTTAACAGCAAGTTATACATTCTTGAAAGTATTTTAGTTTTGGGATCTAGCAGTTCTGTTTCCAACTTTGATTTTTCCACCTGGAAGCCAATTTTTCTATCCAAATTATAGACCTCTCTTATTTGGTAATAATGCAACCAGTCTCGCACTCTATCTTTTAGTTTTTCAAAGCTCTGCAATTTGAATTTATCTCCTTCTTGTTCCAAGATCTCCCAATATTTTGGCCACTTGGCCTCCATATTGGACTTTTTCAGGGCCTTTGCCTCCATTGGTGATAACCACCTTGGGGTTTTATTCTCCAATAAGTCTTTATATCTTATCCAGACATTAAACAATGCTTTCCTGACAATATGGTTTTTAAATATTTTGTGAGCTTTAACCTTGTCATACCACAAATATGCATGCCACCCAAACACATTATTGAAACCTTCTAAGTCCAAAACATCAGTATTTTCCAGAAGTAACCAATCCTTCAACCAGCAGAAAGCTGCTGATTCATAATAAAGTTTAAAGTCTGGCAGGGCACATCCCCCTCTTTCTTTAGCATCAGTCAATATTTTAAGTTTTATCCTGGGCCTCTTGCCCTGCCAGACAAACTTAGAGATATCTCTCTGCCACTTCTTAAAACAATCCATTTTGTCTATTATTTGTATCGATTGAAACAAAAACAGCATTCTTGGCAATACATTCATCTTGATGACAGCAATTCGACCTAACAAGGAAAGCTTCAAATTTGTCCATATTTCTAAATCCTTTTTAATGTCCAACCAACACTTTTCATAATTGTCTTTAAATAAATTCCCATTTTTAGCTGTCATATGGATCCCCAAGTATTTCACTTTTTTTACCACTGTTAAACCTGTCTCATTCTGAAACCTCTCTTTTCAATCGGTGTTAAATTCTTCTCAAGTACTTTAGTTTTAAACTTATTCAACTTAAAACCTGCCACCTGACCAAACTCTTGAATCAGTTCTAGTGCTCTTTTCGTACTAGATTCTGGCTCCTGTAATGTCAATACAAGGTCATCCGCAAATGCTTTCAATTTGTATTGTTTCGCTCCGACCGTTATACCCTTAATCAAATGGTCCCTTCTTATCATATTTAACAGAACCTCCAGAACAGAAATAAAAAGTAATGGGGAAATTGGGCAGCCTTGTCGTGTCCCTTTCTCTATCTTAATTTCCTCTGTTATCACATTATTAACTATTAATTTAGCTTTTTGTTCTGAATAAATTGCATTTATACCATTTTCAAACTCTTGGCCTACCCCCATCCCCTGGAGATTTTTCTTCATAAAACTCCAGGAAATATTATCAAAGGCTTTCTCTGCATCCACAAAAATCAAAACTGCTTTAGTGTTAATCTCCTCTTGCAGCTTCTCCAGAATGTCAATTATATTCCTTGTGTTATCCGAAAGATGTCTATCTGGAAGAAAGCCAGCTTGGTCCTTGTGAATCACTCCTTTTAGCACTTTTTTAAGCCTTTTTGCTAAAATGTCAGCAAAAATTTTGTAATCCACATTTAACAGGGATATGGGCCGATAGTTCTTAAGCTGTGTCTTTTCAGTCTCAGACTTTGGTATAAGTGTAATAAATGCGTCCTTCCACGACTCTGGCGCTCTTTTCCCCTCTAAAATTTCATTGCAAACCTCAGTTAATGGTCGAATTAACCAGTCTTTCAGGGTTCTGTAATATTTTGAGGTTAAACCGTCCGGTCCTGGAGATTTTCCCAGCTGCATATTCTGAATGGCACCTTCAACCTCCTGTTCTGTAATTTTATAATTCAGCAATATCTTGTTATCCTGAGAAATTTTTGTAATCCATTGGTTTTCAGAAATTGCTCTATTTCAAATTCTTTCTGAGGCCCTTGTGTGTATAATTGTTTAAAATATCTCTGGAAGCATTTCCTAATTTCTTCTGGATTCTGGATATTTTTCCCTTCCACTTCCAAATTAGTAATAGTATTGAGTTTTTGTCGTTTCTTCAACTGCCAAGCCAGCAGTTTCCCACATTTATTTGCCGATTCAAAAGTCTTTTGTCTCATTTGTTTAATTTTCCATTCCACTTCTTGATTTATCAATTTCATATACTGCACTTGGTGCAATTTTATTTCCCTCAGAATCTCTTGTGAGTTGGGCTTCACTCTCAGTTTCTTCTCGCCCTCCTTTATTTTTTCCAGAATTTTTCTTTCTTTACATTTTGGGCCCTCTTCTTAACTGAATTCTGTTGAATCAGGAAGCCCCTCATAACAGCTTTGCTTGCGTCCCAGATTATTCTTTTATCTACAGCTGTATTCAAATTTATCTCAAAGTAGTCTCTCAATGTCTTTTGGGCCTTCTTAATCACCTCTTGATCTCTAAACAAGGTGTCATTCATCCTCCATCGGAAGGAACCAGTAGATGTTAACTTCATCTCCATTCTCACGGCGTTATGGTCGGAGCATGTTTTTGGGCAGATCTCTACCTTCCTAACCTTAGGTGCCAGTCCTCTAGTAGTCCAGATTTGGTCAATTCTTGTCCATGTCTTTTGGGCTTCAGAAAAAAAGGTTCCTTCTCTACCAAGGGGATTCCTAGTTCTCCAAATATCAATCAGATCCATATTGTCAGTTAATTCAAAGAATGTTTTCGGTAGTCTGCCATCTTTAGTGACTACCTCTCTTTGTGACTTGTCCATATTTGTGGAAACCACCCCATTCATATCTCCCATAAAAACAGTGTTGTAGTCCATATAGTCCATCAAGATCTCATGCAACTTTTTGTAGAATATAGACTTCCCCTCATCGATTTTTCAGTTTGCATTCCGCTGTGCTCAATGGCATTCAGATTCACTGGCGAACAGGTGTCAAAATGTACTCTCAGATTGCAATTATTCCATTTTCACAGATTAGCAGACATTTATTTTAAATTGCACCCTCAGTGCACAAGAGCATGCCAGTAATTTTGCGGTGTGCTATGTGTTACAACATCGCCGGAGCCTCAGTGGTTTTATGACATGTTGCACACCCTTGTTTAATGGATCTCAAAGCACAGATTAAGGAATAAATGTGCATTTTGGGGGTCAGTTGACTTGCCCCTGAAACACAGCGGCCCTCTCAGGTGGAACTTGTTTGCAGTTTGACCTCAGGGACACACTTTGGTTGTTAGGAGAGGAAGTGAAGAAAGCAAGTTCTCTGGTTGAAACTGCAGGGGGAATTTTTAGTGAGGCAGAAAGCAATTACTCCACCTGGAATGGAGCCAGTATCCCGAACTTCATAATACCCACTCCTCTAGCAAAAAGAAGTGATGCCATGAGAAATGTAATGGCGGCCAGGATCTGTGTTTGACATCTTTTCCAAAAGTAGCAAGATAACTCAGAGCACATCATACTATTTTAGTCTCCTTAAATTCTGCTATTTGGAACCACAGAGTGAGAAAGAAGCATCTAACCAAATTAAGTACAATGGCATAAATCTCCTTAACAGTCTTCAAGATGCAGCTGCGTCCTGTCCTGGGGACAAAAATTGATTGGAATGGCTGTTGAATCTTGGGCCACACCTGCACCTCGCATTTAAAGCACTATGATAGCACTTTAGCAGTCATGCCTTCCCACTAAGAATTCTGGGAATTGTAGTTTGTTAAGGGTTCTGAGAGTTGTTAGGAGGTTTCTGCTCATCTCACAGACCTCCAATTCCCAGAGTTCTCTAGGAAGAGGAATTGATTGTTAAACCACTCTGGGAATTGTAGCTGTGAGGCTTACAGAGGTGTCCTAACAACTCTCAGCATCCTTAACAAACTACAGTTCCCAGCAGAGAAAAATGTAGGGTATTAACTAACTAACTAACTAACTAACTAACTAACTGTAAAGGTAAAGGGACCCCTGACCATTAGGTCCAGTCATGACTGACTCTGGGGTTGCGGCGCTCATCTCGCTTTATTGGCCAAGGGAGCCGGCGTACAGCTTCTGGGTCATGTGGCCAGCATGACTAAGCCGCTTCTGGCGAACCAGAGCAGCACACGGAAACGCCATTTACCTTCCCGCTGGAGCGGTACCTATTTATCTACTTGCACTTTGACATGCTTTCGAACTGCTAGGTTGGCAGGAGCAGGGACTGAGCAACGGGAGCTCACCCTGTCGTGGGATTCGAACCGCCAACCTTCTGATCGGCAAGTCCTAGGCTCTGTGGTTTAAGCCACAGCGCCACCCGCATCCCTCAACTAATAATACTAATTCTAATAATAATGACCCTTCAGAGAGAGGACTGTTCTCTGCAAAAAGACACATAGTCACTCTTGTACACATTCCTTCCCCCTCTTTACCCCACTTTGAGTGAGCCCCTGGAGAAGTTGAGTGACAAGACCAGTAGGGAAGGAGCTTTCAAGTGGCGAATTCCCATTGGTGCATGAAAACAGTGGCCACCTATCACAAGGGGTGGAGGGGAGTGAGCAGCCATGCACATTGGCCATATTGGCATCTCAGCCACCTGAGCTGCCGTTCGGGACCTGCTTCTTCTCCTGAGTCAAAGATGTTCCCCCTGCCTGAGATTAATTTGTGACAAAATGTCATATTAATAGAGCTCAGCATCCCCGGGGATAAATATGGCCTTTTGTTGAGCTATCATGGCGGCACTCTATATAGAACTGCAGAGAGTTATTGAGAAGGTTTTGTTTTTGGGGAAATGTCATGCCACTGGAAGAAGTGTGCTTAACTGGTGACTATGGAGCAAAGCATTATGATGATGAGTGAGGGGTTGTGACATTTCCCTTTTTCTCTCCTCTACTCCATATCTCATCCCTAATTACACTCGCGCCTTTGGGTGTCATCTGATTAAGAAAGCAATGGGGAAACTGTCAGGTATCCATAAATCTGATTCATTTACTAACAAAGGATCGTGCTTGTTTTGAGGAGGAAAGCTCGTCTTCTCTCCAAGGTGTGAAGAAGATGCACACCATATGTTCGTTCAAGGGTGGGGAACCTCTGGCTTTTCAGATGCTGCTGGACTCTTACAGTTTCCATCATCCCTGACCATAGGCCATACTGGCTGGGGCTGATGGTAGTTGGAGTCCAACAACATCTGGGGGTGGGGCTTCCAGGCCCCAACACTCTGGGCAGCTTCTAGCACGTATAGAAACATAGTACCCCTGCCTGAACATCCAGTAGGGTAGATGCTATTCAGGCTGATCCTGAGTGCAATTCTACCTCCCATGTTGAGTCCATGGCCTCATCCTCAGAAGATGAGGAGTCTTATCCCAGATCATGAGAGTCAGAAACTGTGTGCCCTGCCAAGGTACTGGGGCAACTGCCCAAGGTTGACAACATCAGCCCTCCTAGTTGAAGTGAACAATCAACTGTGTTCTGCTCTGTTAGCAGACCTTGCAGCTTGGGTGAATTAGATTGCCATACAGTGGTACCTCAGGTTAAGTACTTAATTTGTTCTGGAGGTCCGTTCTTAACCTGAAACTGTTCTTAACCTGAAGCGCCACTTTAGCTAATAGGGCCTCCTGCTGCCGCCGTGCTGCCGGAGCCCGATTTCTGTTCTTATCCTGAAGCAAAGTCTTAACCTGAAGCACTATTTCTGGGTTAGCGGAGTGTGTAACCTGAAGCGTATGTAACCCGAGGTACCACTGTAATCACTTACAGATTCTGGAGTTCAAAGGCTTTATTCATGGATAAACTGTTTACAGGCTGAGTTGAGATGAGAGGGAGGGGGGAGGGAGGGAGGGACGGACAGACAGACAGACAGACAGACAGACAGACAGACATCTTGACTGGAGAGAACAAATGAAATATCTCAGCTTTTAGGGATGGAGTTAACTTAGATAAAGAGGCTACAAGCAAGTTCTGGCCAGATTGCTAGACAAACAATGCCCTCGTGTTGTTTAAAGTAACACAAGCATTAAGTACAAACTCAAGAGAGAAAAATGTATTTGTTTTTCTCCATCATGGTGCACTTCCACAGGTTTTCAGAAGGGCATGGATTAGAGGAGCTCTGGGGAGACTGTGTTGTGTTCTGGAGCTGAATTCAGGAGAACATGAGGGATAAAATTAAAATATGCCTTTTGTTTTATTGCTGTAATGGGACTCTAATATAATGTGCCTTGGACTTTTTGTGAAGCTGGTAACCTAAATGTCACACTAAACTTTTAAACAGACTTCTAGAGGTAAACAAAGCTAATGATTGCGGCACATTGGAGAAAGAGAGCTTTACAGTCATTTTTTACATGACACCATTACAGCAAGAAGATTTGGGATAGCAAAAATGGGACAAATGTAAATATGCTTGGTTTTCCAAATCTGAGTTGTTGCCTGGGCATTATAATCCTGGATATGTGGGAGTGTGACTTTCTCCTTAATTTGAAGGCTCTTTTCCTAAGTTAGATTTCTGTACATTTGAGCAGCTATTGTTCCAAGTACTCTGTAAAAATATATATAAAGTAAGTGCTGGAAATATGAGCTGAAATGAATTTGCTTCCCAAAATTCTGCTTTGTGATTTTTTTGCTAATGTCACAGAAAGAAAAGGATAGTGAATGGGAAAATCTGCCAATTTCAGTTTCCCTCACTTTCTCGTTTCTCCAGTCTTAAGTTCACTTCTCTGCATTTCAATATCAGTTTGTGATTTTTTTTAAAAAAAAATTCAAATGAAAATCCACCAGAATTTTAGTGCAAATTCCTTTCAGTAAGTGTTGTTTTTTCCCCCTGGGGGTACGCAGAGCCAGCACCTTTTAAATGGATATGTTAAAAATGTGGTACTTACTGTAACAACTTCATGGTGAATACCTGCACCTTTTTGTCTGGAATAAAAGCATTGCTCTCAGTAATGCACATTTTTGTGTGTGATCCTGATTATATTTTGCAAACAATTTCCCCTAGAATAATGCGTTTTTGTAGGAAGCTCTCACCAATATATGCATTTTTATTGACGTTCTGCCTCACTATATGCATTTTTGTACGCATTGTTCGAGAACTGCATTGCAAAATTTGTGGAAGTGTGAATTTTGAAGGATGGCTGCATTTCTGTTTGCATATCGTTTTGGAAAGTGAGCTGACCGTTGGAAGAGTCAAGAAAGATAAAGGAAAGTGTGTGAATAATGCAATGAATAAACTGTGGGACTTACTACCACAGGAGACAGTAATGGATGGCTTTAAAAGAGGATTGGACAAATTCATGGAGGAGAAGGCTATCAATGGCTACTAGCCAAGATGGCTTTGCTGTACCTTCACAGTTAAAGGCAGAAATGCTTCAGGAGTCAGCTTCACCTGTTGAGCAGCATCCTGAAGGAGCAGAAGGCGAAGTGATTCCACCTGCTTCTGATCAGCCTTCTTGCTCCTGACGAGAACCAGCTGGCTTCACCTTTTTAAAGCAGGGTTTCCACCTGCTGGAAACAACATTGGTCATTCCTGACCAGACCTTGCTTCTTCTTGCTTCTTGTGACCTTAGACCCTCGGCTTTCTTGACCCCCTGAATCGTCTGACTATGTGAACTGAGATACTCCTGACCATAGGACTGAACTGGACCCTGTATACAGACTCTGCCTCCAGGCAAGTACCTCCCTAAGACTTGGCTAGTTGGCTGGCTTCTCCCTCCACTGAGCTCCGCCGTGGCTGGCAGTAGAGGACTACAACAATACCAGTGGAGAGGAGAGTGCTCTTGTGCTGGGTCCTGTCTGTGGGCTTCCCACAGGCACCTGGTAGGTCACTGTGAGAGCAGGAATGCGGGACTAGATGGGCCATTGGCCTGGTTCAACAGGCTTTTTATATTCTTACACTGTTGGACAACCACCATCACCGTTGGTCATACTGAGACTGATGGGAGTTGGGAGTCCAACAATGTCTGGAGGTCCACTGGTTCCCTGGCCCTGCTGTAATCACAACACTTTTCTGGAAGTGCCAAGTTAGATATGAAAGTGAAATGTGTTGAGAAAGAGTTAAATAACGGGTACTGGGATCTGTTTGTTCTCCCTCTCTGGAATATTTCTTTTAAATTGCAAAAAAGTTTCCTAATGCTGGGAAAAGATTATGCTGCCTTACTTATTAGGTTCCCGCTGAGCCCAGTTGTAATTGGAATGTACCCTTTGTAAAGTTTATTGGGTCCTGGGGCACCTTGTTACTGAACTGGTCAATTAATCTATTTTTTTTAATGAGTTGTGGGATTTCCTTTTGCAGAAAAGCACTAGGAAACCTGACCAAAGGCCCACAGCTTGGGGATGAAATGAATGGCCTGGAAGTGTGTGGGGACTTTTCCTTGGCAATTAAGGGAGGGAACAGTTGCAACCCACCCCCACCCCCGGCAGGAGGACCAGTGGTAGGCAGGAGGACCAGCGAGGAGACAGAAGACATTGATAAGATCTTTGCATTGACTTGAGGGGTCATGGGGGAAGATGACCATGTAAACAGATTACTCGACAACAGCTTTTTTGGGGGGGGTGGAGTATGTGGTGAGTTGTGGGGAATAAAACTCTGGAGTTCCCCTGCTGTGAGACAAATGATTTCTGTTTAAAAACCTGTTTGTTCCACGCTGAACATCCCAATGTGAGGCAATAATTAATGATATCGCAAGGTTAAGAAAGATGTTGCGTTGTGCTCCATTCCGTTCTTGGGCGTGAAATTGGATTAGCTGTAAAGGCAGTGTTAGGTTTGGAATCTGCCGAGGAAATCAGCAATTATGTCAAAATTTACAAACGTTAAGCTGTTTATGAAGTGAAGTTGAGTTAATGCTTATCTGTAAGCCTTAACCTCCCCCCGCCTTTAACTGTGGTCCATAGAAATCGGATTTACAGAAATTCTTTTCGTTGTTAAGTGAATGCTTTGGAAAACTTACTTTTGAATTAGGATCCGAGACTTTCTTAGATTCCTGGCTCTTTGGGGATCAGCAACTGCAGGCCCTAGGATGAAAATCAGCCCTCCCAGGAGTGCTGGTTTGAACTCTCCTCACCAGCCTTGTGACAAAAGGGGTGAGATTGAGGACAGAGTGATAACCCATTAGCACTTTACATTTAAAGCAGTTTCATGTCACTTTGAACAGTCATGGCTTTCCCGGAAGGCCGAAGTATAGTTTAAGGGTGCTGAGAGTTGATTGGATGCCCCATTCCCCTCACAGAATTAGTTTCTAGAGTTGCCTGTGGATGATCTTTGCCATTCCTGGCCACCCAGGACTCGGCACTTTATTGTCATTCCTCAGGATTTACCAACTTTTTACCACAGTTCTAGCTGTTGTGCTCCATGGTTAGCTTTTCAGGAAAGTCCTGAGGGCCAGATAGAGTCCTAGAGGGCCACATTTGGACCTGAGGTGCCTCATTCCTGAGGTAAAGGAAGGAACTGGAGACACCAGGCCATGTGTACTTGTGCCAGATGTGCCTTCAATGATACAGGGGGTTGCAATTTGGAATAGGCAAAATATGGCACTGATAAAAGATACAAATTTAGATTTTTTTAAAAAAAGACTGGAAACCATTTCTAGTCTGTATAAAATGTTATTTCCCCTATGCGAAGACCACAGCAGGGTTTGAAGTGTAAGGAAGCAGCAGAATATACATTGGAGAGGAAGAAATTAGATAAAACAGAACCTTAAAACGCAATCGAAATTTGGATTTTGAACATCAATGTTGGGTAAGCGGGAAGTCACTGGTTTTGTTTAATTAGAATTGTTGAGCAACAAATGTAATTTTCTATATGGAAAAAAGAATGATATTATATATTAAAAGAATGCTGCCGGGGCCCGCATGTGGCCAGCAGGCCATCCTTGTTCTAAAACCAGAATTGTAGGGGAAGCCTGGCAGCACAAGCTCTGGCTAAAGTTGAACGGAAGTGCCTGAAGAGGGAGCCCAGAAGAGCTCTGCACCCTTGTTCAGGGACAGTCCTGCTTATTTCCTAAACACCAGCAGTGGGGGACTTTTTTCAGCCTAGGGGCCACATTCCCTTTGGAGCAAACCTGTGAGAGGCACATGCCAGTGGTTGGCAGGATCAGAGTTCAAGTAAAAACACTTCAGCTTCAAAACAGGAAGGGACAGGTATGGCCTGGGGAGAGTTCTGAGGGCCAGGTAGAAATGACTACAGGGCCACATTTGGCCCCCAGACCTGAGATTCCCTATACTTGCCCTACACATTTGTCTGGGAGAAAACCCAGTGAACCAGCTGATTCTTATTTCTGACAACCGAGCAGCTTGAAAGAATATCAGTGCAAGGAGATAAATAGGTACCGCTGCGTTGGGAAGGTAAACAGCATTTCCATGCGCTCTGGCACTCATCACTGTGTCCCATTGCGCCAGAAGTGGTTTAGTCATGCTGGCCACATGCCCCATAAAGCTGTCTGTGGACAAATGCCGGCTCCCTTGGTCTGAAGCGAAATGAGTGCTGCACCCCATAGTCACCTTTGATGGGACTTAACTGTCCTGGGGGTCCTTTACCTTTTTACCTCTTATTTCTGCATGAATATATATATGATTGTACTGCATTTGACTCTCCTGGTTTCTAGATTACATAAATATTATTTTATTCACATTGTTGTTGACATGGCACCGTTGATATACCCTATTTATCTTTCGATGCATAAGCTTCGAAAGGCCCCCTTCAATGCTTTCATGCTCTCATTGGAGTATGAAAATACTTGTGGTGCTCATCTGCTCTTGAGATCTGGAAGGAATGCAAGCAAAGTTCATGTTGGAGTGAGTACACCTACTGTATTATTTACTAAGATGAAGGCATGCTATCCTCACTCGAACTCTTAGCCTCAGAGAGGAGGGTTTTGCTTTAAAAAAAAAAACGGAGAGAAGAAGCAGATATCAAGTTCATTTGCTGCTTCCTCTTAAAACTCAGGCAGAACAAGGCAGAAAAGCAGACACAGTGCAGCCCAGAACTTGATGATGTACTATGACCAAAAAAGCTTAGCTTGCCTCACTTGAACTATATGAGAAAGAGATCTTGGAAAGAGAGAGACGGGAACAGCCACATGGTGGCATAGTGCCAAAGGCGAGCCATAGGGTGGAGTTGGTGAAGGGGCTGAATATGTGGTGATGTTCAGAGGGTCCAGAAGGATAAAAATCAAGTCTTGAGATGCTTGCAGAAGGCCTGTGACTCAGTGGTAGAGCATCTACTCTGCATGCAGAAGATCCTGGGTTCAATCGCCAGCATCTCCAAGTAGGGTTGGAAATGTTCCTTGCCTGAAACCCTGGAGTGGCGCTACCTGATGGTGTAGACAATACTGAGCTAGATTCTTTGTGTGCAGAAGGTTCCAGGTTCAGTATCTCCATGCAGGACTAAGGAAGACCTGAAGCCCCAGAGAGCAGGTGTGAATCATGCTAGGTGGTCTGACTCAATGTAAGACACCTTCCCAAGTTCCTGAATATTTTATGAGGAATAGCAAGAGCACCTGCTCTGCACTCAGAAAGTCCCAGGTTCAATCCCTTGCATCTCCAGGTAGGTCTGGGAATGTCCCATGTCTAACATCCTGGAGGGCTGCTGCTAGTCAGTGTTGGCAGTACTGAGCTAGAGGAACCAAAGGGTCTGGCTTGGTAAAAGGTTGTTGTTGTTGTTGTTGTTGTTGTTGTTGTTGTTGTTATTATTATTATTTAATTTATACCCCAGCACTCTGGGCGGCTTCCAACAAAACACTAAAATACAATAACCTATTAAACATTAAAAGCTTCCCTAAACAGAGCTGCCTTCAGATGTCTTCTAAAAGTTTCGTAGTTATTTTTCTCTTTGACATCTGGTGGGAGGGCGTTCCACAGGGCGGGTGCCACTACCAAGAAGGCCCTCTGCCTGGTTCCCTGTAACTTGGCTTCTCGCAGCGAGGGAACTGCCAGAAGGCCCTCGGCGCTGGATCTCAGTGTCCGGGCAGAACGATGGGGGTGGAGACACTCCTTCAGGTGTACAGGACCAAGGCCGTTTAGGGCTTTAAAGGACCCCTGAACTGTTAAGTCCAAAGGCAACTATGGGGTTGCGGCACTAATCTCGCTTTCAGGCCGAGAGAGCCGGCGTTTGTCCACAGACCACTTTCCAGGTCATGTGGCCAGCATGACTAAGCTGCTTCTGGCAAAACCAGAGCAGTGCACGGAAACGCCGTTTACCTTCCTGTCGGAGTGGTACCTATTTATCTACTTGCACTGGCATGCTTTCAAACTGCTAGGTTGGCAGGAGCTGGCACAAAGCAATGGGAGCTCATCCCGTTGCAGGAATTTGAACCGCTGACCTTCTGATTGGGAAGCCCAAGAAGCTCAGTGGTTTAGACCACAGCACCACCCACATCCTGGCTTGGTATAAGACAGCTCCCAATGCTTCATAATGTTGTTCTAGAAATCCATAGTATAGCCACATACGGAATACTGTATAAAGTCGTGCTAGGCTGCTTATTGTGAAACGGTGCCCTCCACTCTGCCATGGTCCAGCGAGGGACTGTGTCTTGAGGGGGAGGAGGGTTGTTTCCTGACCACCACCACAATAATAATAATTGGGTCCTCGTACCAGCCAGGGAAGTGGATTGCAGCCTGCCCCAAACTGGTCAATCGTGGCAGGCTGCTTGGCTGGCTTTGCCCCTGGGGCAGACTGGACTGAGCCTACAGGCTTCACTCAGGTCCACCTCTTGGGCATTTAAATAGGGCCAGTTCTCCACAGTCCTGATCCATAGCATGGAATTTGTCTGTTTCACACCTTGAGCTGCCTGCAGTGACCGCAAGTTCTCTTCCTGGTGAGTAAGCATCAGACCGTACAGATGTATACACAAAGTTAGGGTTGTTTGCCCCAATATCTATCACTTTACAGTTTCTTACACATTGAACAACATCTATATGAAGCCGCTGGGAGAGATCATCAGGGGGTTTGGACTGGGTGTCCATCAATATGCAGATGATACCCAGCTCTACCTCTCTTTCAAATCAGAACCAGTGAAGGCGGTGAAGGTCCTGTGTGAGTGCCTGGAGGCGGTTGGAGGATGGATGGCGGCTAATGGATTGAGGTTGAATCCTGACAAGACAGAAGTACTGTTTTTGGGGGACAGGGGGCGGGCTGGTGTGGAGGACTCCCTGGTCCTGAATAGGGTAACTGTGCCCCTGAAGGACCAGGTGCGCAGCCTGGGAGTCATTTTGGACTCACAGCTGTCCATGGAGGTGCAGGTCAATTCTGTATCCAGGGCAGCTGTCTACCAACTCCACCCTACCTGCCCGCGGACTGTCTCACCAGAGTGGTGCATGCTCTAGTTATCTCCCGCTTGGACTGCAATGCGCTCTACGTGGGGCTACCTTTGAAGGTGACCCAGAAACTACAACTAATCCAGAATGCGGCAGCTAAACTGGTGACTGGGGGCGGCCGCCGAGACCACATAACACCTGTCTTGAAAGACCTACATTGGCTCCCAGTATGTTTCCGAGCACAATTCAAAGTGTTGGTGCTGACCTTTAAAGCCGTAAACGGCCTCGGCCCAGTATACCTGAAGGAGCGTCTCCACCCCCATCGTTCTGCCCAGATGCTGAGGTCCAGCGCTGAGGGCCTTCTGGTGGTTCCGTCATTGCGAGAAGCAAAGCTACAGGGAACCAAGCAGAGGGCCTTCTCGGTAGTGGCGCCCGCCCTGTGGAATGCTCTTCCATCAGATGTCAAAGCGATAAACAACTACCTGACATTCAGAAGACATATTAAGGCAGTCCTGTTCAGGGAAGTTTTTAATGTGTGACATTTTAGTGTATTTTTGGTCTCTGTGGAAGCCGCCCAGAGTGGCTGGGGAAATCCAGCCAGATGGGCGGAGTACAAATAATAAATTATTATTATTATTATTATTATTATTATTATTATTATTATTTGCCTGTTCATCCAGTTTGGAAAAAATCAGTTTTCAGAGTTTACTAACAGCCCATCCTATTTTTACGTAATATTGGAAAGTGCATGTTGATGAAATATTAGTAAGAACCGTGTCACAATGTCAGAGGAAGGAGGCCTCTTTTGCAGAAGACTTGCAATGAATCGTCTGTGGTACAGCATCTACTCTTCATGCAGAAGATCCCAGGTTCAATTTTCTCAGCATCTCCGAATGTCTCATCATTGGGAATGTCCAGTGCCTGAAACCCAGAGAAGCACTGCCATAAAATTGGATCCAGAACATGAAGCAGAGCTGCCTGGTGTGGAAGGGAAGGTGTTGCTTGTGTCTTAAAGTGCAGGGGGAGAGAACATGCCCACCTCACAAAAGCCCTTGCACACTGTCAGGGTGAACGAGACCTACAGTTCTGTGCTGGGAAAGAGCTGCTTGGGCAATTAAGGGAAGAACGTGAAGTACTTGGAGGTTTGGAAACCAATTTGGGGCTGAAAAGTTGAATTTAAAGCACAATGATCTGACAAGGTAAATGCACATGAGTCACTTGGGCTTCCCCTTGTCATCTTGTTCCCCTGCGGCCTCCTATGGACGGATTCGGAGTTGGACTATGCGATCAGAAAAACTGCCTTACCTGGACTTATCCAGACAGATCAATTTCACAGATGAATAGCCCCCTCTGTATATAGAAGACTTGGAGTAAGGATCAGGTGCAAACTTTTCCCTGATATGCTCAATTTCCACATGCTGTGTTTGTGTGTGTTTCAAATACGTGATTCCCTCTCATGCATTCTACAGTGGTACACTCCAGGAACAGCTATACCAGGCTTCCTCAACCTCTGCCCCCCAGATGTTTTGAGACTACAATTCCCATCGTCCCTGACCACTGGTCCTGCTAGCTAGGGATCATGGGAGTTGTAGGCCAAAAACATCTGGAGGGCCGAGGTTGAGGAAGCCTGAGCTATACCATGCATTTTGGCACAGCACTTCTAAACAGCATGGCATTGTTAACAAGCCTGTACCTTATTAAAGGGTCCTGTGGCAGCCTGCTGGAGTTCATTTGGATAAGTTCTGTTTTTGCTGACTTCTGGCTGCAGAACACCAAAGTCAGTTGGCGGTAGCAAAATATGCAAGGCCCACATCTACCGTGATGGAATTTAGTCTGCTCGTGCTGAGCAACCCTCCCACAGTCCTACTTTGCTCATTCTAGGTAACTTTTGCTTTAACGTCTTTTGCATAATGCAATTGACTCCACAGCGGGAGGTCAGTTTTTCCCCTTCTTCCCGGTGTTGTACATTTGTGGAACTTCGATGATCTGGACAAGGCCCTAATGAGGAGGCAAACTCCCCCATGGATTTGATGCAAGAGGAGCTTCTAAGAGAAACACAATACTAAGGTTTGCTTTTTATACCCTAGTTAACTGACCTACCATTCATCTCTCCAGCTGGTGTCAGCCTTGGGGCAAAACCTTCAGCTCACTGGTACAGTGATTCCAACAGTGGCAAAGTGTGGTACTTCCAACAAGCCTTTGTTTGGGGGGCTGAAATATCAGGAGGAAACTGTGTTTCTTATTCAGAGTTTCTAACTCAGGTATCTTTGAGTCTAGAAAAATCCCATGAGTTAGGAAATTCTGTTGCATTAAACTCTTTGCTATTCAGCTTACTATTTTGTTACTTCTTACGAAACGAGGGTGAAAATTTAGAATCTCCAAAGTACACCTTGTTTTCACAATCCATACCCTAATTTGTTTAAGCAATCGTATACACCTCACGTCCCTCTGTTTTGTCCTCAAGACTCTCTTCAGGCCACACCCCTCACTAGCCCACATCCCCACCTTCCTTGAGTGTTTTTGCCTGGCTGGAATATGTCCTTGTACTCTGTGCTGCTTCCCTGCCTGGATGGAGGATAGAGGTGTGTGCACATGCAGAAAATAGCCTACAGTACAAAAGATGAATTTATGTTTGTTACCCCACCCACTTCTGCCACGACACCACTTACTGCCATGTGACCTCTTTAAGGTTTGGAATGAGGGTGGAAGAATGATAATTGTGTTTTTCCATCCATTTCTTGGTTCTTAAAAAATAAATCTGCCCAATTGGAGTGTATCTAAATTGCTCCCCAGTTTGAGAACATATCATGGGGCTAGTTCATCTTTACATCCCAGGCCATTTCCTGGTTCTCCCCAGCACAGTCCCTTTGATTGAGCCAGGGTGTCAGTCTTCAGCAGGAGTGAGGAGGGGAAATCTGACACCAGATCTCTTTCACTCTCTCACCAACATCTGTCTCTGATGGCAAAATATCCAGATTTAACCTTGAATATCCACCTTGATTTAACCAATTAATTGATTTTAAATGTTGATGCCCTCTTACAGAGGCTATTTTAAGGCTGCAACATTCCACCCATCTCTAATACAATCAGTTGTCCTGATCAGCTTTGGGAAAGAAATGAGTGTTGCCTGATCTCTTTCATGCCTGATTAATTAGTTGCCCTTCTCTTCCGCTTCTGAAAACTGTTTATTAAATCCCTCTAATTTCTCTGGACACTTCCTTGCTGGACTTATAAGCACCCAGTGCTGGGGAAAAGAGTGGTCAGGCTGCGTCTGTGTGTTTTGTTTTTCTTTTCTTTCTTAAACTGGGTACTTTGCCCCATAACCAAAGAGAAGAAATTCCGCCAAGGCATCTCCCTGGAGTGCATTTAGCTCTGTGGGGAATGTGATACATGCCTGCAATTAACCTGTGCTTAACTGGCCAAGGGTCACAGAAGCTCCCTACAGTATGCACAGATGGCAGGCTGTTTTGTATCCAGCACACTGGGGAAGCTCAAAAGCAAAGCAAATGGAGTTTCCACATGGAACAAAACCTTCCAAGCCTCCTCTTCTCATAGGAGCATAGAAAGCTGTGTTTTTCTGAGAACAACCATTGGTCCACCTAGCAGCTAGCTCAGCATAGTGTACGATTCCAAACCTGGAGTCCCTCCCAGACTTACCTAGAGATGCTGGGGATTGAACCAGGACCTTCTCTAATACTGAGCTACAACTCCTTCACCAATCATGGACTGGTGTTGCACATTACCAGCTGTCACAACTGGTTCACTGGTGGGTTTTATGACACAGGTTCCCTGTGCTCATCTGGGGCACCCTCTCTTAGGCTCTTAAGCTACCACTTCTCTTTGGCAGGCAAAGACAGACGTGGGCATAGACAACTGTATGCAAATTCTCCATCTTGTGGCTAACATACATTGCCTTCTTCCTTGAAGTTGACTTCTGCATGCGAGATTCTGTTCCTAGGGCTGCTACGATTGTAGGCTTCCCTCAAGCCAGAGGGAGATTCTGCATTCGAGATTCTGTTCCTTGGGCTGCTACGATTGTAGGCTTCCCTCAAGCCAATTGTTGTGTGGGGAAAGTGAATAAGGAGAATTTCCCCTACCCTCACAGTGTTCAAGAACCTGAGGTTGTCCAATGAAGCGAATGCTGGAAGATTCAGCACCAACAGAAGAAGAGGAGGAGGAGGAGGAGTTTGGATTTGATATCCTGCTTTATCACTACCCGAAGGAGTCTCAAAGCGGCTAACATTCTCCTTTCCCTTCCTCCCCCACAACAAACACTCTGTGAGGTGAGTGGGGCTGAGAGACTTCAGAGAAGTGTGACTAGCCCAAGGTCACCCAGCAGCTGCATGTGGAGGAGCGGAGACGCGAACCCGGTTCCCCAGATTACGAGTCTATCGCTCTTAACCACTACACCACACTGGCTCTCGAAGAAGAAGAAAGCACTTCTTCACACAGCATATGGAACTCACTTCCATAAGACTGGGAGTGATGGCCAGCTTTGGCTGGATGGCTTTAGAAGAGGATTAAACAAATTAATGGAGGACAAGGCTTTCAGTGACTATTACCAGTTGCTAGCAATTGCAGATGAGGGGAGAGAGCTGCTGTGCTCAGATTCTGCTAGTAGGCTTCACATGGACACTTGGTTGGCCATTGTGAGAATGCTAGATCTGCCCTTAGCCTCATCCAGAAGGGCTCCTCATTGTTGGTGGTGGTGCTGACCTTTAAAGCCCTAAACGGCCTCGGCCTAGTATACCTCAAGGAGTTTCTTCATCCCCATTGTTCAACCTGGACACTGAGGTCCAGCACCAAGGGCCCTCTGGCGGTTCCCTCACTACAAGAAGCGAAGTTACAGGGAACCAGGCAGAGGGCCTTCTAGGTAATGGCACCTGCTCTCTGGAATGCCCTCCCATCAGATGTCAAAGAAATAAACAACTATCTGATGTTTAGAAGACATCTGTTTAGGGAAGTTTTTAATGACTGATGTTTTAATGTATTTTTAATCTTTTGTTGGAAGCTGCCCAGAGTGGCTGAGGAAACCCAGTCAGATGGTAGAAATAATAAATTATTATTATTATTATTATTATTATTATTATTATTATTATTATGCCTGTGGGTATCCTGTGGGCATATGGTTGGCCACTATGGATAACAGGATGCTGGAATAGATAAAATCTTTAGTTTCTTCTTATGCCTACTTGAAATATACTTGGAGTCGAGTGTGGATTTCATGTTCTTTATTTAGCTCATAGTAGTGAGGAATGGAAGTTCCCTTGAAATGTCCGCTTTATATACATTATTTACACAATGTGCCCCATGTGTTTGGCTAATTCTGGGATTCTCCTGTAGGCCAATCAGGTTGCGGATTCCCTTACACCTGGAGTGGATTGGGTGGCTCCTGTGGACCAATCAGACTGCTGCATTCTGGACCCTATTGTTCTAGGACCAATCATACTGCTGCATTCTGAATCCTATTGTTCTAGGACTAATCAGACTGCTGCATTTTGGATCCTATTCAACTCAGTACATAACACTACTATTTCCTAGAAGTGATTGGTGGGGCAGTGTGAATAGGATGGGGCTGTGCACACTGAGTGTTGCTGTTGTTTACCAAGGGCTGGTGGTGGTTCAGAGACATGGCACTGAGGTGCTGATGGACAGGGCTGTGTCTACCACATGCCCTGTCTTGCACCTTCTAAGATGTCCTCCTAAGGTTCAGTGGAGGATGCAGTGTGGTCCCCATTGCTGAATTAAGATTAAACTGTCAGTTAAATCTTTTGTGGTCACCAACTGCATTCAATCCTCACTGAAGGTTTTTATTCTGGAGGGGTTCTCTCCTTAGGTTCCCCCACAAATATTTTTTTGTGCTTCCACAAATGTTGGGATGTCCCCCAGCTTGCTGATACCTGCCTCCCGTGTGTGTGTGTGTGTGTGTGTGTGTGTGTGTGTGTAGTGGTAGTGCCCTGCTTTTGCATTTCCCTGTCATCCCTTCTGAGGTGAGTCTGCTGCAGACCTTATTAAATTTTCAACACTGGTTAAAGATGCACTTCTTTGTTCATGCTTTGGGAGGGGGTTAGGCATCAGACTCTGCGACCGTCGCTGTATCACCTGCTGGAAAATTAATTGTTTCTGCAATACTTTATAACACACTGGGCCTGTTTGTTTCAGGGTCACATGTGGCTGCAATGTGCCTTGGATAAATATGATGAAGACTCTCACACTCTTAAATCCGATGAAGGCTCTTAATCTTGGGATTGTGGGTTCGAGCCCCACGTTGGGCAAAAGTCCTGCATTGCAGAGGGTTGGACTAGATGGCCCTGGTGGTCCCTTCCTCTAACACTACAATTCTGTGATTCTATAATCCAATGAAAAAATAAATAAGGAATGACACTCACCACCTGAGCATCAGAAATAGAAGGAACTGTAGAAGAAACTGTGTGTGTGTGTGTGTGTGTGTGTGTGTGTGTGTGTTATAAATAAATAAATAAAAGCAGGCAAGAAGGCTGTTAAGTTTAAAGAAATTGAGCTAAGCATACAGGAAAAAGTATCTGCCACCAGGGTCAAACTGGATGCCATGTGTATATATATATTTTTTTCATTAAAGGAGTGCAGATTTAGAGGCCTCAGCTATTATTTCCGGTGACTTGAGGCCCTCGGGGGCAGCAGTGAAATGGAAAAGAGCACGGCAGCCCTGCTCCCGGAGCTGATGCTCACTGAATCTGAAAGGTCATGTCATGTTTTCTGGCAATTGACTCAATGGGTTTGGATTCTACAACATAAGGTCGGGCTGTTTTCACTCAGCACATGTTTACTGGGGAATGTGCCTTCCAGTTGTTTTCACATTGACCTTATTACCCTGCCACACTGATGAGGCTGGCACAAAACCTACTTTTTGTAATGCGGTGTGTGTGTGTGTGTGTGTGTGTGTGTGTGTGTACGTACGTATTGCTTGAGACTCTCTCTCTCCACCCCCAGCATAAACCAGAATGCCACCAGCGGGATGGGTGTGTTGCTGTGTGTTGCCCTTTTTCTCCCCCTCCACCCACACACCTCCAGATTGAGAAATCTGGCTCCCAAAGGGAGATCAGACTTCTTGCTCCTTTGCACCATATATCCCTAGATACCGGCCAAATTCTCCAAGGACTGCCAGCATGTGCATGAGCTGGGTGGCCAAAGCCAGAAGGCAGAGCCACCACAGGCGAGATGGAAAGTGGTGTTATGTTCAAGGACACATTCCAGTCAGGCAAAGGAACTGGAGGAGCAGGGAGAGCAGAGCCAAAGATGGGGCCGGAAGAGAGTGTGGGTGTGGCCTTGGGAGAATCCTGAGGGCCAGACAGAGGGACCTGGAGGTTCACATTTGGCCCCTGGCCTTGAGGTTCCTCACCCCTGCAAAACTCATGCTTCAGGCAGCTGCATTTATTTCAAAACACCCCCCATGTTTTCAAATATAAATGTTCATCTTGTACAAGATACACATTTATACTTGAAAACATGGGGGGGGTGTTTTGAAATAAATGCAGCTGCCTGAAGCATGAGGAATGTAGCAAGTGTGGTGGTCAAACCAGTGTTTGGTTCGCTGTCAGGTAACCTGCAACGGCAAGCTCAGACTTAAAGGTGAAAGACCTGGGTCCGCCTTCCCCCTAATCTTTACTCAAGTTAAATCCAGAAGCAAAAACTCTTGACTCTCACCCCTGGTCTTTGCCCTTGCCTCCAATTCCATCCACTTCACCACCCCTTCACCCCTCCCCTTTGTTGTTATGTCCAGCGCACTGAAACACGATTTCTTTGTCTGGGCGAAAGCATCGGCCTGTGTCATGATTTGTCAAATTTGCCTCTCTCCCGAGACACAATGCAACGCCAACTGAAAGTATTATGTAGCCTTCAGTGACATGAAGCATCACACAGAAGCTCTGAGGCACACCGTTTGGCTGAAGACTCCAGATGGCCTTGGTCTCTTCACCCTGCTGTGGAAAACATTCAAGACCTCAGATGCCCTGCTGAATGCAAAATGCAAAGACAACTTTGCTTCTACCTATTTGGCAGCTCTTGTGCTCTACCAGGACATTCCCCATCTGGCGGTGAGCAGGGGCAGCGAGAGTGGGGTTGCGCTCCTTGGCCTCCTTCCCTGTTCTGTGGCCACGACTGCCTCCTGTGTGAGTGAGTTCCATAGTTTAACTAGGCACTGTGTGAAAAAGAGCCTCCTTTTATCTGCCCTGAATCTTTCAACATTCAGATTCATTGGTTGTCCACATTTCCAATGGTTTGAGAGAGATAATTTTTTTCTACCCACTTTATTCAGCCTATGCATAATTTTATACATTTCTGTCATGTCACCTCTTATTTGCCTTTCCTCTAAACTAAAAAGTCCCAAATGCTGCAATCTTTCTTCATGAGGAGTCTTTCACAGTGGAGACGTTTCACCAAATCAAGCCATAAAGGGTTAGGGTCAGTGGTGAAGCATCTGCTTTTGTACAGAGGGACTCAAATGCAATCAATGGCATCTCCTAATAGGTATGGGAGTTTCCCAGTAGTGATGTATGGAAGTGAGAGCTGGACCATAAAGAAGGCTGATCGCCGAAGAATGGATGCTTTTGAATTCTGGTGCTGGAGGAGACTCTTGAGAGTCCCATGGACTGCAAGAAGATCAAACCTCTCCATTCTTAAGGAAATCAGCCCTGAGTGCTCACTGGAAGGACAGATCCTGAAGCTGAGACTCCAATACTTTGGCCACCTCATGACAAGAGAAGGCTCCCTGGAAAAGACCCTGATGTTGGGAAAGATGGAGGGAATAAGGAGAAGGGGACGACAGAGGACGAGATAGTTGGATAGTGTTCTCGAAGCTACCAGCATGAGTTTGACCAAACTGCGGGAGACAGTGGAAGACAGGAGTGCCTGGCATGCTCTGGTCCATGGGGTCACGAAGAGTCGGACACGACTAAACGACTAAACAACAACAACAATAGGTATGGGAGAGACCCCGTCTGAAATCCTGGGAAACCTCAGTAGGGATGTAAGAAGGCATCATTTTCCATTCTTCCCTGTATTTGTCATATGCAGCTTTGTTTCCATTCTGCTGCAGTTCATCTTATGCCAAAGCTTACATTCTTTGTCTTGCTATATACTGCAGGGAAACTACATCACTTACACAGCTTATGTTGTTGTTAGGCTATTCCACCCCATTCATTTCAATGCAGAGGAAACACAATGCAAACACTGAAAGCAGCAGCAACAGCGAATGCCAGCCATACTTGCTGTTTTGAGTTCCATCCCAAATGCAGAACAAATAAGTGAACATCAGGAACTTTGATTTTCATCGGATTTTTCCAACAACTCTGCCAGTCTGTATGGGCATTACTGAGCTAGATGTATCCAATAATCTAACTTGGTATACAGCAGCTTCCCATCTTCTTGAACCTTCAGTCCACCTTGCTTCAGAATTGTCTGGCTGGAGTGGAATCTACCAAATTCATTTTGCTGTGTAGCCGTGTCTCTTTCCACCCCCCTACTTTCCTCACTTGGTGTACCATATGTGCTGCATTGGTTCCTAATGCCCGGATCCCCTTTTGCTTGGCATCAGCCCTCCCCCCCCCATCCCAATTATCTACCAAGAAAAGGATAAAGCGATTCTTAATCTTCCGACCTTTGCTGTCATGTATAGTGAGAGTAGTGAGCAGATGTACAAGAACAGATTGCTGTGCAGCACCTGCAGGGCAAAAATAACACCTTGCACTCGCTTCCTCTTTCAGGAGTCTCTAAACTCATCTTTGATTGCAAGGGAAGAGAGGTGAGGTTGGAGTCACTTCTCTTAAATAGGCATGAGAAAGAGAAGAGAAGTGATAGGGGAATCCCTTCCCTTCAACTCTGCAGTTTTATTTTATTTTTTAAAAAAACTGTTGCTGCTTTTTATGTGTTTGATGTTTATTGACTGATATATATATATAAAAGGGACCCCTATTAGCTCAAGGGCTGCATTCCCTCAGGGGCAAGCTTTCAGAGGCCATATGCCAGTGGTGGGTGTGGCCAGAGGCAGAAGTGGGAGGAGCAATGGATACAACTCTTCCCTTTGTTAATAGGGTCCCAGACCTTGAGATTTCAGGGCCCAAACCTAAGAGCTATGGGTGGCCCCCAGTGATATCATGGAAGGCAACCCCTGGGGATGTCACAAGGGTGATGTCATTGAGCATGACACACGAAGCGTTAACCACAGTCACTGAGAGCATGTCATCCAAATAACACAAGTCTAACAAATGAGCAAATATGTCACTGGGTGGAAATTAAGGTAGAAACCTTAGCTAAAGGGAGTGTTCCCAGGTTGAATTGAAGGGAGCCGTGAGAGGAAACATTTAATCTAGTCTGGGAAACCTGGAACTTTCAGGTCAGCTATGGAGGTCAGGAAATCCTATTTGTACAGTAGGCTACATTCCAGCCTGGCTAAAGCCAGAGGTTTCTAGTCCTCATCTCTCCATCCATTGGCAAGGCATACAAATGGCACGATCACAGTTCAAAGACAAGTTCCAGTAACCTGAAACTGTTCGTAACTAGAGGCATGCTTTTACTATTGGGGCCTCTTGCTGCCACTGCACCGCCGGTACACGATTTCCCTTCTCATCCTGGGGCAAAGTTCTCAACTCAAGGTAACTCTTCCAGGTTATCGGAGTTTGTAACCTGAAGCGTTTGTAACCTGAGGTGTTTGTAACTTGAGGTACCACTGTATGTGTGTTGGAAGCTGCCAGAGTGGCTGGCGCAACTCAGTAAGATGTGTGGGGTATCAATAGTAAAATTATCATTATGGAATGGGATGTCCCTATTTTAATCGGAGAAATGTTGGAAAGTATGGACCAGTGGGCAGCTTCCTATGTATGGAAGGAGCTTGCTCAGCCATTTGGGGGTTGGGCGGGGAACCCCTTTCTCAAAGCTTTGGCCCTGACTTATTTTAGTTTCTTAGGTTTGCTGTGAAAATTGACTTGCCTAAGATCCAGGAAAAAGGGCTGCCTTTCGGAAATCCCTCCCGCCTTTGAAATTCTGGGAAAATCTGGACGTATGGCAGCCCTATCCATAACGTTGTGCCAAACATTGTACAAACTGCAATGCATGCTCAGTGTTGGCTGTAAAAATAGCCTTCCTGCATTAGCATACCAGCAGGAGACAATATGGTAGGGATGACCTTTGTATGCTGTGCCTGTTCTTCCTATTCCCTGAAGGCAGTTGCCAAATCTTGATCTAGGTCTACGAAATAGAACATGGGATGAAAAGCCATCGTTCCAAATAGGTGGCTCCAGAAGCAATTGTTCCATGTGCCAGAAGGATTCTTCCGTGATGCCCATCAGTGCACGCCGTTGCTTAGATGTGTAAATCAGGAAAACGTACTTCCTTAGAGTTGCCTGTTGGAACAATTAGATCACTGTACACAGTGTTCTTTTTCCGGCCTGGCAGGGTATCCTGATAACAATGAGAAAACACAAAATCGCACCCTTACACTTTTGTAACATCTGTCACCATAAAGTGCCTGGCATGTTTTGAATCAAGGGTTGCTAGTGTCAAAGTGTTGTCATCTGCGCTTGTTGAGTTTAGGGATGTGTGAAACCCACGTAAGATGACAAATGTGTCATCATCAGTTTTGCTTTTCCTGGCCATAAGGGACAAGTTTCTTTTGGAAAAATCCACAGACCTGTTTCAAATTTGTCTGGTTCCATTTATGCTTTCACTGTTCTACTGCTTTATCATTTGTTCGGGTAAATTTTGGCCTTGGAGGATGAGGTAGACTTTTTTTATTTTTACTCATTGTTATATTATACTGTAGCTTTTGGAAGGTATGGTCCCCTCTACCCAATTCAGGATCCAGAATAAACACCGTCCTGGCCCGGGATACACCTGACTTGGATCTGGCCCTTTATCAATTAGGGTGGGGCTAATGTTTAATTAGGAATATATATATATATATATAACCCTAATTAAACATATGTTTGGGAGTGTGCAGGGCAGTGGAAAGCACTTGTGAAGAAGTACACAGCACCCTGCAGGATTCAATCCTGCTGGGGGTTGCTCCACCAGTGGGGAATGCTAGAGTTGTCTGCCTCTCTTTCTTCCCATCTGTGACCTCCTTCCTCTCCCCCTGACAGCCCTGGATGGTTCCAGGCAGCCCAATCAGAGGTGATCCAGAGCTGTTTCCCCCCACCTTGGGAGAGGCCCGGATCTCCTGCACAGCTGTAGCTTTTGTAGTCTCAGAGCTGCATAAACATCATTTTCTCCTAAGCTTATTTTGCTTGAGGTGAGACTGCATCACAGGGCATTTGGTTTCCTTCTCCCCCATTTCTGGTGGGTGAGAAAGGTTTTTTTCTATCAAAGCTCATAATGCACTCTTCCCTATTTTTGCCTAGACTGACTCTTAATTTCCAAGGCTAGCCAAGCACCGTGCATCTTGAATTCCTCATGGTGCATCACACTTTGTATCTTAACTTAGTATATTTTAACAATTTCGCTGATTCCATGGGAATATTGCAGTCCTACAGCAACTAAGAGCCAATAATTGGGACTGTTCTGCTAGTGTTATCGTCATACACTTGTCCTTTTCCTGCAGTTTGAAAGCATTCAAATGCTGACATCTCAAGAGCCAGGACTCCAGGAGTTTGCCCTGTGACCCAAATTAGTCTTCCAGCTTCTGGAGAAGTACAGACCCTCAGCTGGTCTCTTCCCCTTCTGTATGCCACACATCACATTCAAAGACCCCTGAACTGTGAAGAAATTGGCTCCATAGAGACCTCGTTTCCAAGGTCTGTTTCTAAACATGATGGCCACAGGCATCAGGAAAACTCCCCCCTCCCCTCCTTCCCCTTACCAAAAAAACCCCTGTTCAAACAGCAGCACTGAACAGTTGGCTCAGTCCATTACAGATTTTAATTCCCCCCCTCTTTTTGGCATTGTTCTGAAACATCGGGCATTGTTGCATGCCAGAGTCAACATCCAAAAATTGTATTCCCCCCACCCTCATGAGCACAGAAGCAGAATGGTCAATTTCGTGCTCTGGCTCCCACTTCCTCACTTTATAGCACCCAGTGCACTGGCCACCTTAAGAGATACAGTTTTTAGATCCCCTCAAATTACTCTTCTGCCAACTGGGCAGTGAGAGAGAACACCTGTCTGTGGTCCCTAGGATAGACTGTGCGGTGGAGTGTGCTCAGCTCAGAAGGGCGCATTCATAAAAGAGGACATAGGCACACATTTCTTCACGTGCCTGCAATTGGCAAGAGCGGTGTGAACTGTAAACCCATTACCCTTGCTATGCACCCCTCTCTCTCAGCCCCCTTCCTCCAAACATTTCTTCTTAACTGCCTACCAAAATGTAAATAATTGGAATATTAGAAATCATGTTCAAGAGCTGATGTTGGAATTACTTAGCACATCTCTGTGTCTAGCGTGATTTCCCCTCCATGTTCTCTAAACTATCGTGATCCCATATAAGTTATCCTTCCATGACCTCAAGTTTCTTTCACCCCCAGGCTCAGCAGTCTCTATTATTTAGTGAATCACAGTAAGTCTCGGATAACTGAACATGATTCCCCTAGTAATGTACCGCGCTTTGCTATTTTAATCATGAACAAAATACCCACTCTCTTTGCCACGAGAATATGCAGAATATGTCCATTTAGGGTACGTGCACATCATGAGAGACCTGCTGATCTCCCTGCTGTGAGAAAATGCTAGACATATTTCAGATGACTCTACCTACTAGATAGGTCGGGGGAATTGCTGGTTGGATCCAAGTCTTCAGTAACAGGAAGACTCAGGTCTTCATATGGAGTTTCGTTCTTCCTGAGCCCAGTGCCTCCAAGGCATGAGCCCTCTACCATTGCCTGGCACCTCCCACTTTCCAGTGCTTGTTTACCAGCACACGGAGCATCCTAGGTAGGATGTAATGGAGAGGAAAGGGATGGCTCAGTTCCTGTCTCAGAGGCTGCCCCTTTAAGGACCTCCACTTTCCATAAGGGATGGAGCCTTGACTCCATTTGGAATACTGTGTACAGTTTTAGCTGCCTCCCCTCAAAAAGAATATTGTAGAGTTGGGAAAATTTCAGAAAAGGGCAACCAAAAGAGGTGGAGGTGACTCTTCTATGAGGAAAATTTGGACCTTTTAGTTTAGAAAAAAGGCAAGTAAGTGGTGACATGATAAAAAATTATAAACTTATGCATGACATTGAGACAGTGAATAGAGGTAAGTTATTCTTCCTCTCTCATAACTCTGTAACTCAGGACAGATAAATAAAAGTCCTTCTTCACATAGTGCATCGCTGAACTTATGGAACTCATTTACACATGTGGCAGTAATGGCCACCAGTTGGGATGGCTTGACATGGGGATTGGACAAATTCATGGAGGATAAGACTATCAGTGACTACTGGCTGCAATGGTTGTCTTCTACCTCCATTGTCAGAGGCAATATGTCTCTGAATCCCAGTTGTTGGAAACTGCTGGAGGGGAGAGTGCTGTCATGCTTGAGTCTTGCTTGAGGGTTTTGCACAGACATCTAGCTGGCTGAAAAGAGGATTCTGGACTAGATGGGCCATTGGTCTGATTCAATAGGCTCTTATGGGTGATCAGGACCAGGAGAGTTACAAGGGCTAAGTTGGACCAGGGAGCAAATTGAAGCAAGTTGCTCATTCCCAGAGATCTGTCCATGGTCCTGCAAACCTGGTATACAGCCATCCTTTTTCTTCGTACTCTGCACCATTGTGTTTTGTGCATGTGTGTCTGAAGTCTTTATGGGCTTATTTTATTGCACATGTTTATTTTACTGTTTTGAGGGAATTATTTTAATATGTATTTTAATTGTGTGTGATTTTTTTTTGTAATTGGTTATAAGCCGCTTAGACGCTAATTAAGCAGCATATTAATGTCTGCAAATGTGACACGAAGGCTGGCAGCATTACCCCTCTCATGTAGGAATCCCTTGCAGATGACCACAGCACCTGGAGATATTCAATCAGGTCATGTATCCACAGCAGTGACCAGATGAGGAATGACTGCTGGGACAAAAAAAAATTCTCTTTCCACTTTCTCCATGCCTAGGGTTGCCATATTTCAAACAGTGAAAATCTGGACAGAAAAGTTGTTGAACTGATTTCTGCCCAGACACTGCTGCCAATTCCAGTCTTCCATATATATCCAGGAAAATCCGGACGTATGACAACCCTATCCATGTCATGCATAATTTTATATACTTCTATTTTTTCGCCTCTTATTTGCCTTTTCTCTGAAATAAAAGGTCCCAAATGCTGCAGCCTTTCTTCACAGGGATGTTGCTCCATCTTCTTAGTTTCATTTGTCATTTTCTGAGCTTTCCCAGCTCTTCAATATCCTTTTTGAGGTGAGGTGACCAGAACTATACACAGCATTCCAAATGCCATCACATCTTAAATTTGTGTAATGGCATTATAATATCAGCCATTATCCTATCGTATCCTTCCCTTCCCTTCCCTTCCCTTCCCTTCCCTTCCCTTCCCTTCCCTTTCTTTCCCATCCCATTCCTAGCTTGGAATTTGCCTTGTCTACAGCTGTGGTGTGTTTCCAGTCTAAGGGCTCATCTACACTTTTCCTTTCGCCTTTGCTTTCCTCAGGGAAAGCCTACTGTTTACCATTGAATCGGAGCAAATGTCAAATGGGTTTTCTCCCAATTGATGTTTGCTCCAGTTTAGCACTGAAGAGTGGATTTTCCAGGGGGAAGTGGAGGGATAAAGGAAAAACTGCTTGGGCCCATGCCTTCTATACATGGGACAAGCGCAAGTGTGGAAAGCCCTAAGTCTACTTTTTTCTAGTCAGGTTCACTATAATGAGGGGCTACATCTTTCTAGATGAGGTGTTAAATCAAGAAATCCTAATTGTTAGGTCTTCTCTAGATTTTAACCTGACTCACCTAACACCTCCCCTAGGAATCCTGGGAACTAAGGGGGAAGAATGTACTTTAAATATATGGTGTGTAGGCAGCCTTAAATTTCATCATCTCATACCACTGTATACTAAAGAGGAAGGCCTCAAAAACTTTCCATAATTTTGAAGCCCTTAAGTATTTTTTCATTTAAAAAACAACAACAACCTGAGGGACATGTGAGTGTTTAGGGTTATTCAGTCACTGATAAGAAGAAGCCATGCCACAATACATTTGTTCATTTTTAAGGTGCTTTTGTTGCGACAGACTCGCACAGCAACTTCTCTGAAATTGACAAGAATAGGTGTTTGACGGTGTGACGCTTTCTATGGGCAGGCCGCAGCCGAGGATGTCAGACATTTGGAGCTCATGCAAACGCAACCTTTGAACCGCCAGAGTCCCTCTCGGCTGGAACGTAGGCCCTGAAAAACACCAAAGGCGCCTTTCACACCTGACGCGCCGCTTTCGAAGGACACAGGTCTCTCTGTAGTTCAGCAGCAAGTCGGAGATGTTCTAAAATGGCCCTGATTAAAAACAACAACGGCGATGTGCAGGGTGAATCCTGAGGTGGCCATTTAGCTTGGGGAAAGCTGACACTAATTAGGGTGGCTATGAGTTGTGTAGGGGCAGAAAAGCTCCTGTCCTCGTCCTCTCCTTTCGTCTAATGCGTTGTGACAGAACCTAAATATTTCTCAGGGAGAAAAACAAACAAACAAACAGGTTAGCTGACCTCCTTCGTGCATTTGTGCACAACTGTCAACCTGTGAAGATAAAATGAAGTTCCAGCTACTGTGGAGTGGTTTGAGGCCTTTCCCTCCAGGCTCAGCTTGTTACCTCAGCGAATGCTCCCAAGCAGAGAATGAAGAAAAGGCCAACATTTGCAACAGGCAAGCAAGGCTTTCCCTGACAAAGCTGAGGTAGAATTAGGAAAAGTTCTTTCTTTGGTAAGCACAAGGTCCTCTTCTTGCCCACAGAAACCTAAGCTTGCTATTCCCTGTTGCCAAATCGTGAAACTCTTTCCAGCTTTAGTGGAGGCATTTGAAATGTGGGTAGGATGGTGCCCATTGGGACTCGCAGGGCAGAAGGGAGCAAGAGCAACAGTGGGCAGAGCCAATGACAGGAAGAGCCACCCTCTCATAGAATTAGAAGGGACCAAAAAGGATCATCAACTCCCTGCAATGCAGGGATCTCACCCAACATGGGACTTGAACGAATGATCCTGAGCTTAAGAGTCTCATGCTCTACCAACTGAGCTATCCTCTGGAGCTGGCTGAGGTTGGTGGGGCAGTGCCCCATTTTAGCTGCACTGAACAGGTTGTTTTTCTGTGCCATCTTACTGCTAAATAGGAATTTGTGGTGGTGGTTCCAGCCACCAAGGAGGAGGGAGAACAGTGAGCCACAGTTACTCATTGGGCCTGTGCTATCGGTCCTGCTCTTTCAAGGCTCCTTTACTTACAGTGTTCAATGTGATGGAGAACTGATGACTGAAGTAGCCTGCATGTCTAACCCATGGGGACTGAAAGTGCTGAACTCTTAGATTTAAGAACACAAAAAGAGCCTGCTGGATCAGGCCAATGGCCCATCTAAGTCCAGCATTCTGTTCTCACAGTGGCCAGCCAGATGTCCGTGGGGGCTTTCTATTGTCCAGGGGGAGACTTTCCGTTTCATTACAGCCACTTCTCAATTTTGACAGAAGAGCAAACAGTTTGGGCGGCTGTCAGTTCCATAGCAACATCACCTTAGCTGTTGACCATTGTTGGGTTCACAAGGTAGATTAATCTGGCCTCGGTACAGCAAATAAAAATAAATGAGAGAGAAGAAACGCAAGCGTACAAAATGGTCAGATGATGCACAAGGAACCTAAAGGGTCATGATCCAGTTCCTGCTAGCTTTTGGGGAACCAAGAGAGATTCACTAATCCTCAATAATTAAAGGGATTCTCTTCCCTTCCCTCCTCTCCAGCGAATAGCAAATGAGTGAGGTTTCAGCTCACGCCTGTTAACGATGCCAGTGACATGTTCATAATGCTGTTATACATTTCCTTGTGCATTACGGTTGTAAAAGAAGAGGGGGGTGATTGTGGCACAGGGCCAGAACCACTTAGATCATTTTACCAGGGGCACACCAGGGAGCAGAGCACCCAATCAAGGAGACTCTCTTTCCGGTCCACAGCACCCCGTGTTGTGACATTCCTCTCGCAGTTGTCCCCCTGCATTACCGCCACCGACGTAAGAGACGATTGTTGTCTTCGGATATCACAATCAGTTTAGCTAAAGCAAGGGTCAAACTGCTGTCAGGGAATTCAGATGTATGTTTCAACTTAGTTTTGTCACCCTGCTAGATGAGGGGAGGAGGGAAATTGCAGCTTTGGGTAAGGTCAAACCAGGGGCATAAACTTTTATTTGTGAGTGGCTGAGGATGAAACAAAATCTGATTTTGCTCAGATACAGGTGTTTTGATGGTGGGATGATGATGATCATCATCATCATCATGACTATCATTTATTTAGTACTGTACTCTTTTAATATCTCCACACCTCTCCCTTCTTTGGAATTGGAGAGTTTGTTCATGCTAGGGTTAAAGAATTGTGCCACGTTCTGTTGCAAAGGGGGCCCAGGAAATTTTGGAGCCAATGCACACTTAGGTTGAATTCCCTTTGTTTTTAAAATATTGCCAGTGTGGTGGAGAATCACACCTCTTCGCACACCCTGCATTGTACAACTGTGTATAATAGATAGATATATGCTGGCGGTGCTACCCAAGTTGGTATTAAACACATCTTGGGGTTTTACTTTTGCAATGGTCAAACATAGGTATCAGCAAGGGGGTCAGTTGCAACCCCCTGATGACCATAGCCCCCTGCTGATTCTCAGCTTTCTTTTTCAAAGGCTTAAGTTTCTAGCACCTGTAGATGCTGAGATATAAGGCAAAATGTACAGGCACAAGTCTTCTAATTTTTGTGTGAGAGAAACTAGCCTGCTCCCCCATTTCAGTGTTTTTCTTCCACCTATCCCCTCAAATCCTGTGCATGAAAATACATTAACGCAGGTTGCCTGCGTCTCTTTAATTGTAATGCTTTTATTGCTGTTCCACAGGTAGATGGCATGTCACAGGGAAGGAGATTGCCTTATGACTCCTGCACAGAGACAGCTGCATCTCAGTGATCTCAGGTTAGTCCCTACCTGGGCTTTAGGGATGTAGATTGTCACCTTGCCAGGTGATTTTGCTTTCCTTGAAAGGTTAGAGCTGGGAAATATCAGCTCCTGTACAATGACACCCCTGCCCCTTTGAATAGAAGGGATGGTGAACCTGTGGCCTTCCAGATGTTATTGGACTGCAACTCCCATCAGATGGTCATGGATGATGGCAGTTGGCTCACCACTGCATTTTGGGCTGGGGGAATTCGGTTTGATTCATCTACACGTTTAAATCACTTGACTTTCACCAAGGACTCCTGGGATTACTGTCATTTGCTTAGGGTGCTGTAGCTGTAGTTGTGTGAGGGGAAGACTATAGTTCTTGGGGTTTCATGAGGGGGGAGGAAGTCATGTGCTTTCAATGTGGGTTGAATGTGCTTTAAACACACTGTGTGGATTTGCCCTATGTTGCACTTCCTGAAACAATGTGTGAACTGAATGGAAGCTATCCTCTGAAATTCACACTGCCCCTTATTTTGTAATGCAGTTTTCCAACAAAAATGCATATATTAGGGGAATATGCATATAAAGATGCACATATTCATGAAAATAGCATACAAGGGAGGCACGTTCACAACCTGCAGCGTCTGCAACCTACAGCGTTGCATCTGCGCACACGCACAATGCAATTTAGAGTTTCGGCGCATGCACAAGTGCCGAAACCCAGAAGTAACCCATTCCGGTACTTCCGGGTTTCGGCGCGTCCATAACCTGAAAATGCGCAACCCGCAGCTATCGCAACCTGAGGTATGACTGTATAAGCATGTATTGAAGTAAAGAAGATTATTTGCACAAATATGTACATGTGCTTTCTTTTTTCGTGGGGTGAGGATTTAACGTCCCCCTCCAACTCAAATGGAACTAAGGATTGGAAAAATGAGCTGTGGAGAGAAACTGAGAATGACAGCTCTAACCACCCCTAATTTGGGGGGGATGCAGCCCTTCCTGAGGAAGCTGATTGCTGTGATGCTGCTGATGTCACAACACTCCTTTAATTCTGCCTTGAGCAAATCTCTTCCTGCTGTTCCTAAAGCGAAGGGGGCATCATGCTCATGTTTCTCTCCCTCCCAGGTGACAGGATACCCAAACTCACATTTCCTGACAGTCTCTCAAGTTTCTCTTGCCCGCCCTGGTTACGTGTTTCAGGATGTGGTTGACAAGAGTTGGCTGCTCGTCCACAGGCATTTGGAACATTATCATAGATGATGTCATGAAAACAGAACATTCCCAGCTGGATCAGCCCATCTAAAACCCAGCATCCTGTCCTTGAAACTAGCCAGCCAGATGCTTCTGGGAGCCCCACGTGTCCTACATCTGTAAGAACCTGTCTGTCTGACTTCACTTCCTCCACTGTCTGTTGGCACAGAAGGGAAGGTAAGAGGCCACATCTGCACATATATTTAAAACACAGTGATACTACTTTAAACCAATCATGGCTTCTCCCAAAGACTCATGGGAAGTGTAGTTTGTTAAGGCTGCTGGGAGTTCTTAGGACACCACTATTCCCATTCCAGAGCTACAATCCTCAGAATGGTTTAACAACCAGTCCCTCTTCTTGGGAAACTCTGGGAACTGTAGCTCTGTGAGAGGAATAAGGGTCTCCTGAGAACTCTTGGCAGCCTTAACTACACTTCCCAGGATTCTTTGGTGGAAGCCATGGCTGCTAAAGGGGCCTCACAGTGCTTTAAATGTATGGTGTGAATGTGGCCAGTCTCCCTTTGTGATACTTGTAGGCTTTCAACCTTGTGACACCAGCAATCATTATATCAGTTCCAAACCACCTCTCACGTATATCTGCAGGCTTAGCAACAATGTCGATCTCACAATAAGGAAAAGGGAAAAGACTGTTATGCTTAGCAGGCTTAGAAGCAAAGGGTCAGTAATGGATCTGGTCACAAGTGAGGACAGGTATTCTCTATAAATTCAATTGCGGAAAAGCACCGCAGGGCTTGGAAAAGCTCTAGCACATTATTCAAAGGTGAAGTGAATTTGGTCAGCACCTGGGTGTAAGGCACCCAGAGTGGTCTTGAACCAAGGTCTCTACTGCCAGGCCTTGGTGCATTACTTCCTGCACCACAGGCACTCTGGTCCCTCAGAAAGCAGGTTCTATGGATCAAGGGAATCATCTTGGCAGCTGTTGCGGCCTGAATATAGTCAACTAATTCCCCCCAAAAACCCAGCACTAAGACCTGACACTGAGACAACCTAGATGTGGTACAGAACATCCATGAATAGGACTTTCCATGTTATTATAGGTAGGGGTGTGTGGCAACCACATCATTTACCTTGTACAGTGGTACCTTGGGATGCGAACAGGATCCGTTCTGGAGCGGGTTGCATTTTGCTGCTTCCGTGTGACATCATTTTGACCATCTGCGCATGCGCACGTGGCGAAACCCGGAAGTAACGCGCTCCGTTACTTCCAGGTCACTGCGGAGTGCAACCCAAAAATACTTAACTTGAAGCACATTTATCCCAAGGTATGACTGTAAATGTAAGGATATATCTTATCTTCCTATATACATAAAATGTAAGACTGTCATCACGCTGCAGGTTGGTGGCTTTGCATGATGAATTGCAGGTGGGCAGGGGAGTAAGCAAGCAGCATGGGTAACAGGTGGCCCAGGCAAGCTGTTTAAGAGAGGAACCCCTTCTAGTAAACCTATCTGCAGTGAGGTTTAATGGGGATGGGGGGATGCATTTCACAGTCATTTAGCAAGCCGCAGTGTGAATCACCTCCCCCCCCCCCGCAAAATGCAGCTGCAGCTATGTTTAATGGCTGTGCGGGGAGGCATTTCACATAGCATCTTGCTAAACTGCTGTGGGAAGTGCCTTCCCCCCTCCTTTAAAATGGCTTGGGGTGAGCGGGGGGTGGGGAGGAGAAGCATGGAGGAGAGGTGAAGGAAGCTGTGGGGATAGGTGCAAGTGTGGGTGAGGTGTAAAGGGAGGGGCGTTGGCAAAGGGGAAGGCAGGGTTGGTGAATGGAACAAGCAGGAGGAGCAGCCATTAGCTTAATCACTTTTAAACAGTCTCTTTATGTCTTACAAGCAGCAGAAGAAAAAAATATAATAGTGTACATATATCCCCACCAGGGGGTTGTAGTTTGGAGGGTGCCTGGCAGTGGTGACTGGTGCCCATTGAGACTGGTGGGGCAGAAAGCAGGGAGGCCAACGGTAGGCAGAACCTGAGCCAATGACAGACAGAGCCAGCTAATTCTAGTTTTGTCCCTATCCTCTTCCCTGCTGAGTTCTACAAGGGGCCACGCTGAGACTAATGAGGAGATGATAGCAGAGAGAATGCCAAATGGGGCACTTCTGTAAGATGGTTTAAGTTGATTGACTCCAAATTGAGATGGTACCTATTTCTGTGTGTGGGAGGGGGGAGAGACAGACAGACAGACAGTAAGAGAGAGAGAGGGATGAGTATGGCCCACCGTGTACATTTTAATTATACTGCCCTTTCTTTGGCTCATGTAATCATGAATAAGTGAAGCACGCTGCAATCTGTGGTATGTATTTTGCAAAACATTACCATCTGGGTGAGTTTTTTGACTGCCCTTTTGCAACTCTCTTAGTTGGCTCAATTGCGAGATGGTTTTTAAAGAGGCGATTGGCAGCTATGTTGTCAACTGGTGCCTGGATGTGGTCCGTTGGCCTCCGTTTCCCCAAATTCTGCATTCCAGAGTACTTGTCAATGTTAATTAAACCAGCAGCTGGCTGTGTCAGCAAGCGTGTATTTGGGATGGGGTACAAAGACCCCCAAGGCAGAAGTCTGGGGCCATGTCTGAGCGGTTGAATGCAGAATTGCCAACTCAGAATCCCTGCTTATGTCACCAGTTGTAGGAACATCCTGAAATGGGAATGGTCCTGAGCTGGATAACCGGACCAGGGGTGGGAAACCTGTGGCCCCCTCCCACTATGGTTGGACTCCAGCTCCCAGCCGTAGTCACCATGGCCAATGGTGGGAGTTGTATTCCAGCAGCATCTTGGGGCAGCGGGGTCACAGCATTTTGAAAACTATTAATAAAGCTTGTTACATGTTTAAAAACAACAACAAAACTATTGTAAGTGCTCAAGCAACTCAAGTCCCACCCCCAGGAGAAGTCTGCTCCCCAACCAAAGCCTACCCCCCAGGGTGCCCCCTTAACAAACATCCTGTCTACACCCATGGGCCATAGGTTCCTCATCCCTGAGACAGGCTATGTGGGTCATTTGGATTACAGTGATACCTTGGGTTAAGAACTTAATTCATTCTGGAGGTCCGTTCTTAACCTGAAACTGTTCTTAACCTGAAGCACAACTTTAGCTAATGGGGGCCTCCTGCTGCTGCTGCGCCGCCATCATGCGATTTCTGTTCTCATCCTGAAGCAAAGTTCTTAACCCGAGGTACTATTTCTGGGTTAGTGGAGTCTGTAACCTGAAGCAAATGTAACCTGAAGCAAATGTAACCCGAGGTACCACTGTTCTTTGCATTAGCCAGCATTTGTCAAGCAACAATATCACACCTTCTAGCAGTTAACTCAAGTGGTAAGTGGTACAAAGAAACAAATGGAAGACATCAGCATGCTTGGGGAGGAGCCCTGAAGTTCTCAGAAGTACAGAATAAGCTTTTAAAAACAACCCCAAACAGGAACCTCCTTCCACTAACAAAAATAGCCCGTTGGTTACTGACCACACTTAGTAGGCATGGAATGGAGAGCAGTGGAATGTGGAGAAGAGGGAGTGTAATGCTCTGGTTGGAGGGAATGGAGAGAAGGTGCACTGCAACATCCTGTTGCAGGTCGCCTATCTGTTCACTCACCAACCATATAGCCTGTTGCGTTGAGCCACTGATACGAGGCAGCGTAGCATGGTTCTGCCACTTCAGGGATCGGGTCTGGCCACAGTTACACCATACATTGAAAGCACTACGATGACACTTCAAAAAGCACTTTCCACCTCCTGCAGTTTCTAGCAGCTGGTATTCAGAACCATTGCTGCCTTTGACCATAGGGGCGGAGCCTAGCCGTCACGGCTGGTAGCCATTGATAGCTTTATCCTCCATGAATTTGTCCAGTCTTCTTTTTAAGCCATCTAAGATGGTGGCCATCACTGCCTCCTGTGGAATTGAGTTCCACACATGCATAGTGTGAAGAAGTTCTTCTTTTTTTGTCTGTCCTGAATCTTCAGCTTCATTGGATGTCCATGATTTCTAGTATTATAAGAGAGAAAAACTCGACTGTCCATTTTCTCCATGCCATGGGTAATTGTGTGCATAAATAGGTTACATCTCAGACACACAAAAATCTGAGTTTTCTACACAAACATCTCTTGTGTCCTCTAACCAGGTAAACAAGAAGCGTTATCAGAGTGCAAGGGGGCATCCCAGCCAGGCCAAAGGGCACAGAGTGGGGCTGGTGAAAGGAATGGCCTAGAAAGGGTATCAAGGTCCTAGAGGTCCACATTTTAGCCTTTGATCTATGGTTGCCCACAATGATTGCTGGTTTTGACTAGAATACAAAACGTAGCTGGTTCTCAGCCTGTACTGCCCCCAGTATCCTGTTGAGGATGTGTTTATTATCTTGGTTTGGGGCCAGAAGCCCCCCAAGTGCATTTTCCCCATTGTCTGTGTGAAAATGTCTTCCTGCAAGCTCTAATCTCCAAAGAACTCTCCCCACCTCACTCTCTGCAGCAGCTCCTGGTACATTTCATCAGCTTGAGAACTCAGATCAAGATCTCTACGCTGGGAAGATTTTCTCGTCAAATAAGAGCTGACAATAGTAGTCACGTTGGCATAAAATCCCGGGCCGGAAGGATTACAAAGGAATCAGAGTGGATTCAGTTCTTTTCTTTTATTCTATTCCACCCCACCTCCTTTTTTTCTGGGAGACAGTAATGGATTGCGAAGCACACAGATTCCATCCTTTTTATAACACCAGAGGTCACTGTATGATCGCACATTTGAGGTTGCCACAGGGTTCCTGGGAGGTCAGAGATGCTTAATCCATATTAAGGGCCCAAACGAGCAGCAAAACGTGTACTTCGCGATTTCTGTCTCTGATACTGCTTCATGCCAGTCAAAACTTTGCTTTCAGATGATTTCCCTTTCCCTCCCTACCTTCCGGTGTGCGAAATGAATATCACACATAAAGACAAATTTCAGAAGAGCAGCTGTGAAGAGCAGATTATTGCAGTGAAAAATACAGAGCTCTCTACTCCTAACAGAAGTGGGAAGGGCCATAGCCCAGTGGTAGAGCATTTGCTTGGCATGCAGAAGGTCCCTGGTTCACTCTCTGTCCTTTCCAGGTAGGGTGGAAAAGACCTTACACTGCAACTCAGTGTAGAGTGTTACTGCCCTGTGTGTATGGCTGGAATCACCTTGAAGGGCACCTGAGCAAAATCCATTCTCTTTTCCTTCAAATCTCTCCCCTTCTCTTTGAAGTCTTTGCTTAACCCTCCTTGCTTCTCATATCCCAGACCCTCCAAGTGTCCCTATTTTCCAGTGACAGTCCTGCATTTACAGAAGCCGTCCCGGTTTCTGATTTGATCCCAGAATGTCCCTATTTTCCTTAGGACCGGCCCTATTTTCATCGGAGAAATGTTGGAGGGTATGGAGTTATGCAACCCTTGAGCCAAGGAGATAAGTAACTACACAACCTTGTTTAGAATATATCTGAAGGCAGCCCTGTATAGGGAAGTTTTTTAAATGTCTAATGTTTTATTATGTTTTTATATATGTTGGAAGCCGCCCAGAGTCGCTGGGGCAACAGAGTCAGATGGGCAGGATATAAATAATTTACCCCTTCTTCTTCTTCTTCTTCTTCTTCTTCTTCTTCTTCTTCTTCTTCTTCTTCTTCTTCTTCTTCTTCTTCTTCTGGAAAAGTATGTCCCTTCACTGGAGAAAAGTTGGAGGGTATGATATCCCTCCCTCTCCCAAGTATTCAGACTGGAAGTTCCAGGGATTTTTTTTAATATATATTTTGCTTTGTTTATACTGCATATAATGGCATGCACAACAAGGATGGGGAACTTGCAGTCTTCCAGGTGTTGTTGGACTACAACTCCCATCAGCCCCAGCCAGCATAGTCAAAGATCAGAGATGGAAGGAGTTGTAGTCTAGCAACAACTGAAGGGCCACTGGTTCCGTACATTAATACTGCTTTGCTAAATAATAATATTTAGAATGCCTCTCACTCCTTCACCTTGGCAGTCATTCCTGCAGTATTCGACAGAAGACAGAAATATCCGTGGCATACGAGCTCTTTCTCATGGCACCAACTGCAACCTAGTTTTCACAGAAAGCGCTTAGTCCTTCTGTCTCACAGTCTGACACCTGTCACTCATCTGCTCCAAACATTTGGGGGTTTAAGACAGTGCCTGCTATCTGACAAGTCCAAGGTAAAAGCGGATTTAGAGCAGCCAGTTGATAGCGACGGCCTGTAATCGCTTGCACTGAAGAGAGAGGATTCTCTCCCCCTCCCCTTGTTCCTTAATCCCCTTTCCTCTCAAATGCTGCAGTCGAAAGAATCCTGAAATCTTTTTTCTATGGCCACTTTCTGATGCAGAAAAAGCTCGTGAACTGTTTTGAGGGAGCAGATCTCTCTCTGTGAGTGTCTGTTTGCCTGTCTCTCCCTCTCCCCCCGCTTCTTCCACACCATAGGAAGATGACTTCTACTGAGTCAGAGCACTAGCCCATCTAGTTCAGTATTGCCTGCACTGACTTGCAGCATCTCTACAAGGTTCCTGACAGGCAACATCCCACTTGGAAATGCTGGGGATGGAATCTGGGACTCCCTGCAAGGAAAAGCCCTGAGCCCTTCCCCAGATGTGCCCCCCCCACATTATACTGCAAGAGTGGAAAACTTTGTCCAACCCAAGGGCTGCATCCTCTTATGTGGAACCTTCTGGGGGCAGGTATCCATGGCAATAGAAGTGATGGCCCTGTACACATTTTAGACTCTGATACATTCTTCTGGGGACGCGGGTGGCGCTGTGGGTTAAACCACAGAGCCTAGGACTTGCTGATCAGAAGGTCGGCGGTTCGAATCCCCGTGACGGGGTGAGCTCCCTGCTCCTGCCAACCTAGCAGTTCAAAAGCACGTCAAAGTGCAAGTAGATAAATAGGTATCGCTCCGGCAGGAAGGTAAACAGTGTTTCCGTGCGCTGCTCTGGTTTGCCAGAAGCAGCTTAGTCATGCTGGCCACATGACCCGGAAGCTGTACGCTGGCTCCCTTGGCCAGTAAAGCGAGATGAGTGCCGCAACCCCAGAGTCGGCCACGACTGGACCTAATGGTCAGGGGTCCCTTTACCTTTACCTTTAAACATTTTGGTAATCTAAGTTTAGCCTTATTGAGGGGCAGTATTTCAATATGAGTAGGAAAATGAGAGTACCCCTAAACATTTTTTTAAGGAAAAAAGCACTGCCTGGGAGTAAGCTTCATTGAACAGGGTGGGGCTTACTTCTGAGTAAACATGCATACGTTTGCACTGCACATCCTTGGTAAACGTGACATCTCCTCTCTTTGTTGTTTTCTGTATGATCAAAGTTCAGCTAGAAAGCTGTACGATAGTTGCAGAATGTAATATAAAATATAGACAGGGCCACAATGGTGGCAGCACCCCAGTTATGGAATTTACTCCCCATGGTGATCTAGCTGCCTTTGTCTCATAACTGGAAGGGAATTTGGTAGTCTAGTCGTTGGCTAGGCACTGCATTAAACTTTATTGCTGCTTTGTTGTTATTGTATATTGAATTATTGTTTTATGTTGGTTTTATTTGATCATTGTTTGCCACCCTCAGCTGCCTTTGGAGGAAGGCTAGGATATAAGAATAAATAATAAGAATAATTTTTCAAAAGAATTTTCTCATGCATTCACGTGCATACATGCAAACATATAGGTACATGTAACAGATCAGAAACCTTTATGTTTCTTGTAAGGGAGATAACACGACAAAAATCAGGGCCAGGGAGGGTGGGGGGAAAATAGCTCTGCAGTCACTTATTTCCCACAACCCCCAAGCCACTGATTTCCAGTTCCCCACTTAAAGATAATTGATCTGAGACAGATCAATTTAGCAGCGCTGAATTTGAATCAAGTGTGCCCTGTAATTTGAATGATCAGCGGTTCATTTCCTGATAGCCTGAGCTGACCTAGTCATGACTTCTCTGTGCTCAGAGAAATGATCTGACTGTAGCTAACATGGGCTGAAAGGTTTTTAAATAGGATCCAATCAGATTCCTTGCTGCCTGGCCTGGGATGGGCTTAAATCTACCCGTGGTACTCTGGAGTTAAATGTTTTCTGCAGTCTCCTCTTAGATATTGAGTGCATCTCCCTTCCTTTGGGTTGAAATTAAAAACTCAAAGTGGTCTCCTGTTTTCCACAGCCCCTTGCCAGCCTTTAGCTCCCCCAACTGAATAGGAGGAAAGCAATCTCTGTCTCTCTGTCTTTCTCTGTCTGTCTGTCTTTCTCTCTGTGTACACAAGCCCACACATAAGGCATAGGGTAAGGGATGGCATTTTGGAAAAGCTCTGTTTAGAAAGCAGGTTTTTAATTTAATAAAAAGGGGATCAATCAAATCGATTAGCATTTTGGAAGGCTTATAGCTCCTCCTCATCAATTACACTTCATGTGTGCATAGGGATATTAGCCATCTGTCTGCAGGATCCTTGTCATTCACCCTTATCACTGGGAGCGGAGAGAAACTCTCACTGTGTTCACGCATTCACTGTGTACTGTTTCCACTGCAGGGGTTGAATCCATGTTCACACATGTTATCCAAAATGCAGATGTATCCTATACTTTGTTTAAGATAACCAGTGTTTGCTGTGCTGTTTTCTCAAACCAGCTTCACACCTCTAGAGTCCCTAAGCCTGTCCCAGTTCAACTCTTCCAAGGTGTGAACACCTTTGCATGGGGGAAAGACACCCCCTTCCTGTCAGGGCCTGCTTGGTATGTATACAAACAGAAGTGAATGAAGCCATGGGGATGTGAACAGTTGGTGGAGGGAGGAATTGTGAAACAAAGTGGGGAACAACTTCCTTGCACTCTTGTTGGTAATGTGAATACGCCCTTTGTGTTTGCCACTAGGGGGTGGCTTTTCCTACCTGACTTGAGCCACCATACAGATCGGGGATGACATATCCTGCCAATGTCTGGGGAAAACTGAGACATCCACTTTCCCCCCATGAGAGCACAGCGGCCATTTTGGGCGCCATGATCTCGCCCCCAAACCATGATCTTGCATAGCACCCCAAAGTACATTTTGGGGCACTGTGAGAGCAGAGCACTGAAAAAGTGCATCCTTTGGGCTCTGTGATCTCATGTGGACCACATGACTCGTGCAGGAGGAGCATGGGCAGGAAGATTTGTGTCCTGATTTGGGGACTCAACATGTTGGAGGGTATGGGATGGCTTCCACTAGAACTCTGATGGGACATCTTGCCCTTTTGGGTTGAGGCATAAAAGACCCCGGGGGCTCACATTTTAATATGAAACTCCCCATTTCACACTTCCTGAAACTGCATGGGCCCCAAAATACAGCTAGCCTTTGAAATTCACACTGCTCTGAATTTTGCAATGCACTTCTCCAGGTACTCGGGGAAAGTCTACCTAGACGTGCATAGATTAGTAAAAATAGCATGCAAAAATGCAACCTATCAGGGGTATCACTTGCAGAAATGGTTATACCAGGAAACGTTGTACACACAGATGTGTATACCAGGAAAAATCTGCACCAAAAGAATTTCCACGAGAATACCCACTTTGGAACACAGTCCCCCTACCCTCCCAATGGAAAAGTAGCCTGGTGCCCAAAAATTGTTCTTTTAATAGCTCCCTTAAGATTTTATTAAATAAAAAAAATCAGCCAGGCCCTTTTTCAGGGAAGCATTTTGGGCTATTGTTCATGCTGGCTTTTCAGATGTACTGAATGTAAACTTATTGCTCAACTTTGCCATGTTGTGTTTATTTCCTTGTTTTGGTCCACTGTCACAATATTTTCAAATGGTGGGCAGTTGGTGAATCCCCGAAATGAATGAATGAATAAATATGCAATTCAGGCTGCGAATCTGATGAAGACTTACCTGGGAGTAAAAACCCCTTAACAGTAGTAAACATGCACAGGATGGTGCCATTCATTTTAATCAAATTAAATGTGCTGCTTCTGTCTATTTAATCTCCCCTGCTTACCTCAATCATTCCATAGAGCCAGAAGAGTTCAGAAAACTCTCAAGATTCATTCCACATGCTGCAACTCTTCCCCAGTTGCCTATAAATGTGATTACGGGAAAGACAAATGGCAGTTTTTGCTCTGATCTTCTGAGACAAGGGTTAATTTCCATCATTGTCCGACGTTATGTTAATCAGCCACCAATTGCTCTTTTTGTATGGAAATATATCACCCTGGATTTAGGATAACTGGCCTCTGCTGTTATCTTTGAGTAATGAAAGGACGCAGCATGCCGGCTGACTCAAGGGCTGAAACACAAGCAAGGCCACTCTTCCCATCGATTTATCATCTATTAAAGGTGTGCCAGTTTTGCAAAGGAACAGCACCTTTGCGCTCCACCAAAGCCAAGAATGGGATCCTCATTTGTTTTCTGGGTGGCTTGAGGTGGGGGCTAGACCCACCTTGCGGTTCTGAAGGTGACAGGTGCCAAAGAAAAAGGTGCGCTAATTGAGACGTCTCAAGGGAGCGGCAAGAAGTAAACTGGCAAAGGTAACTGAATGGAGAGGATTTGCAGCCGTGCACAGACAAGCATTTCAGGGACTGCTACAGAAGAGACAAAAGTAAAGGAGAAACGTATTAGAGAACAGGACACCATCTTCACACTTGAGGAAGAGAGGAGAAAATTATGTTAATCAAGAGAGGAAACTGATATGTGGGGGGAAAGAAGTAGCTGCTATAAAGGAAATAAAGACCGTGGGGTTATTATTTACTAGATGACCAGGGAAACCTTTATCACAGACACTTGGATGGCTTTAAAAGACAATTGGACACATTTGTGGAAGACAAAGCCTACTGGCCAGAATGCCTATGTTCTACCTCCACTGTCAGAGGCAGTGATCCTTCTGAATACCAGTCGCTGGACACTGCAGGACGGGAGCGTACTGATGTGCTCAGATCCTACTTGCAGGTTTCCTGGTTGATCCCTGTGAGAACAGGATGCTGGACTCCACGGGCCTCTGGTCTGATCCAGCAGGGCTCTTCTTGCATTTTTAAGCAAGTCCCACTGTGTTCAGTGGGTCTAACAAGCCACAACATATGTGCATAGGATGGTAGTCTTAGCGTGTGCCGCCTTCTGTGTTTGCAACATGAATTATGTTGCAAAGATGCGGCTCTAGTTAATTAATAATGCTGGGCTTTATCAAATGTTAGCTTTCCTCTTCCTGGGCTATCTGCGAAAAGCCTTCCCCTCCTTTCTTTAAAGCAGTGGGTGAAAAAAACACTTTAATAATTCAGCAGGAACCTTTTACATTATGGAAATTATAATCAACTGGCAAAGGGTGAGAGATCTGATTTCTTTCTCTCCGCCACCCCCCGCCTGCCGTAGAACTTCAGCTCAAGTGCTACAAGTGTTGCATGATTAATGGCAAATGAAGAGAGGTGTGGAAGGGTCTTCGTTGCAAGATGCAATCTCAGCCGCCCTGCAGTAGATTACTTGCCCGTCGGTCCTCCAACCCCCTCTCCTGATGTGGCCCTATTTTTCAGGATTGCAAACGTGACACTGTCCCGGCGCGTGTGCCTTGAGGACTGCAAACTTGGAGAAGCCGTTTCCATTCCACCGCATGTACCCTTGGCTGCCATTGAATAATTTAAACCCATTAATCGTTTTAAGAGGAAGACTTAGTGCTGCTTGACTTGCTACAGCCGAATTGAGGGATGAGTGCTTGTGTGCTTCTCCAACGAAGGGTCTTTGGCCAGATGCAGAAGATCCAAAGACACCTGACTTTTCCTCCTTAAACGGCTTGATTTTTCCCCCTCTCTAAAAAAAAAAATTAACTGAGGGTTCCTATGCCGAAAGCAGTTAAGCAAACAATAATCCTGCCGCAGTTGTAAGTAGACATCTTACGATATTAGCTGTTTATTTCACTGACATCCATTTGAAGAGTCTACAGGGGGCTGTTTCAGGAGTCAGGACCTCAATGTAATATACAAGCTCTGATTCTGATATTTCCCTTGATAACTGCGCTCTACCTTATTGGGGTCGGAAGTCAGGCAAGGTTCAGTGGCTGTTATAATGCTCACTGTCACCAGTAATAAGTACAAAGGACTTCCTCTAAAAGCAGGCTTATAAAACTTTAAGGAAAGTTGGATTGCTTAAGTGAACTTCCAAGGCTCTTTGGGAGGGGGTGGCTGCGCTTGCCTTGTCTACTTATATTAATTTCACAACGTCTAAAGGGTCAAGCAGTGTAGTTGGTGATGCTGATTAATTCATGAAACACACAGTCTTTGAGCTATCCTATCTACCTACATCTTTCCCCCCCTTTTACTGTCCTCCAACCTTTGGGGCTTTATTTTTTTTTAAAAAAATCTATATACAGAGAAAGACGGTGGTGGGAGGTGGGGAGAGGGTGAGCGTGAGCGTCAGAGAGCTCTAGCCTCTTCCCCCTGCTACCAGGAGTTTAAGGTGCTAGTCAAGAAGAAGGAAAAAAAATAGTTCAAACATCTCCCCCGCCTAATCCCTAGCCACATTGATCTGATTCTGCGTGACATTCAGACAATCAAAATTAAATTCTAAATTTTGAGCACAGTGTGAAATTCCAATTAGAGGACTATCATGGTCAAGGCGGCTAATGTGCGTTTGCTACACTGATTGGAAGGTTAACCTTATTTTCATTCATGGGAGGCTGTCTTTGATCAGAATGTGGGGGGTCAGCGGCTACTGAGAATATCATTCAAGGTGGTATAATGGAGAGCTCGCAAAGCTGCAATGTTTGTGGAGTTTGCAGATGAGCAAAAAATGGCCAGCGATTCTCTTCCTTTCTTCAAAGAGAGGTGTTTTTTATGTTCTTGTTTTTAAACGAGTGCTGAGGGTCTGAGGAGCCAGCCTGGATGATCCTGTTCAAAGCTGTGATCCTGTGCATGTAAAGTTTAGAATCTAGTAGAAAAGGCCATTGAACCAGTCAGATAAGTTTCTTCATAAGATCATAGCATTGGCTGGCCAGGTGAGGACTGTCATTTACAGGCCCACAGAGGTTGCCATAGAGACAAAAGGAGCTATATCCAGATTCTGATTTCTTTGGGGTGTATGTGTGGGTGTCTTACTTTCCGGGAGTTGCTGCCACCACCCTTCCACCTACTCCTGCAGCTGCAGATGGGAGGGAACCTGGGATGCACTAGAACAATTACTCCTAAAAAGGTTCTGAGCCAGTGCCCCAGCTCTCCTCACTTCAACCTAAACCTTTGTGATTTATTCGTAGAGTAAAGGCAGTTCACATTCTCTCTCAGTCTGTCCCAGACCTCAAAAGCGTGTGTCGGTCAATTACAGCTCCAATCCTAAACCCCCAGGAGCCTGAATGCCAAACGTCTAGGCACAAGGGGATTCTAAAACCCTGAGGTTGGCAAAGCTACATACTTCGGCAGTCAAATTAAGGAACTTTATTAGTTTGTGAAATATACTCGGAGTCGAGAGTGGATTTCATGCTCTTTAGTCAGCTCATAGTGGTGAAGAGGAATGAAAATCCCCCCAAAGTATCTGCTTTATATACATTATTTACACAATGGGCTGCATGTGATTGGCTAATTCCGGAATTCTCCTGTAGGCCAATCAGGTTGTGGATTCACTTCCATCTGGAGCTGGATTGGGTGGCTCCTGCAGACCAATCATACTGCTGCATTGTTCTAGGACCAATCAGACTGCTGCATTCTGAATCCTATTGTTCTAGGACCAATCAGACTGCTGCATTTTGGATCCTATTCAACTTGGTACATAATAGTTTGTTATTGAAAAGAAAATGGAAAAAGGATGGCAGCAGCTTTACAGCCTTTGGACCACTACACAAAGGGATCCAGAAATGGTCAACCAAAATGATTAAGGAGATGAAGTGACTCCTCCATGAGGGAAAGTTGTAGTGTTTGGGACTTTTTAGTTTGGAGAAAAAGCACAAGAGAACTTTACAAAATTGTGCGCGACACGGAGAAAGTGAACATAAAAAGTTTTTCTCTCTCTCATAACACAAGAACTTTATGGACACCCAATGAAGCTGGAAATTGGATGATTCAGGAGAAATAAAATAAAGTACTTCCTTTTTCCAGCGTATAGCTGGGCTATGGAACTTGCTCCTACAGGAGGCAATCGTGGCCACCAACTTGGAGGGCTTTAAAAGAGGATTGGGCAGATTCATGGAAGATAAGGCTATCAATGGCCACTAGCCATGATGGCAGAGCTCTGCCCCGTGGCCAGAGGCAATAATGCTTCTGAGTACCAGTCGCTGGAAACAGCAGGAGGGAAGAGTGCTCTTGTGCTTGGGTCCTGTCTGAAGTCACCCATAGGCATCTGGGTGGCCATTGTGAGAAAAGGATGCTAGACTAGATGGACTCCCTTTGGACCGATTCCAGCAGGCTCTTCTTATGTTCTAATGTTCATATGACTTCAGATTCTTAAGTGATTGATCCGGGTCATGATCCACCTGTATCCAATCAGGTGAACCTGCTTTGGAACCTGAGCTTTGTGGATTCATCACCCATCCCTACTGTTAGCTGGCTGCACATTTCACATAATGATAAAACACGGTTGTGATAAACATGCTTCAATTTGAGGTTCTACTAGTAGTGCCAACACTGCGGCATTTAAGATTCTTTTCATTTTAAATGACGATAACAGGCACGAGAGGGATATTTTATCTAGCTCGTGAAGTCCTTTTAATCAAAATTAATTGCACCCTGTTCTCTGCAGCTATAAACTCCTTGCTGTCTTTGTTGGTGCAGATGAAACTTTACCTGCCGCAACCCCTCAAAGGTGAACTCGCAGAAGTCCCCTTGAAAGCCCCGGTATCCGTCCTGTACCACAGAGCCATGCAAAGCATTTCTCTCTATGACTTCCCAATAGGAGAACCTTAGGATCCTGTGACAGAAGGGGTTAAGAAGCATTGAACGCCAGCCATTAAGTTGTAGCCCCTGGACATGGAGATATCAAATATTCTTTTTGGTATTTCAAAATCTTTGAACAGGACACACTTCCCTTTCGGTGGCTAAAGGATGCAGAAGTGGCTGTGGAGGACATGTATCACAGCTGGAAGACTAAAAGCAGACTCTCTGATTTTCAGGTGTCTTTGGGATACAAAGGCATTTTTAAATAAAATAAAATAGAACCAGAGGCACAGACCTATCTGTTTTTGTCTTTGTTTGGTTTTATTTTTTAACAAAAACCCTCCACCCCCCAGCAAAGATAATGAGCTTGTATCAAGCTGCAATCTTTGGATCAATCATGCTTGGAGCACCAGCAGATATAATGCTTCCTCCTACCTTTTTGAGATGCCCGCACTGCATACAAGGTATTAGTCCTGAATTGAAAAAGGAGAATCATCTGGAATATTCAAGGTGCCAGGCTGCTGTTATGGCCTTAGAGCAAATATACAACAACAGCAGATCATGGGAATTGAAATGTTCCTGGGCTACCCCATTTCAAATGCACATGATTACATGCTTCCCCATCTTAAAAACAAGCAAACGAAAAGGTATGTGTGCAGTGCACTAGAGAGGTGTTTGCATGTTACATTCAATGAATATCCAATCTGTGTACACAAGAGAGTTAAGCAGTACACTCCCAGTTATTCACAGGCAACACCCAACAAGTTTGTGTACCTCCAAATACAATCACAGAGCTGAACAAATGCCTGCATTAGGGGGAAGTGTGCATGAAAATGACTGGAATATTGAAGATAGCACACAAAAATGCATTATCTTGGGGAAAATTGCTTGCAAAATTGTGCCCGTTAGTCTAAACTGCATACAAAATTGTGTTGTTGGGAGGAATTCGAACTACAATGCTGTGAATTTTCATGAGGATTTTTAATCTTTAAAAATTTGCTTCATTGTAAAATGTAGAGAACTGAATTTATGACTGGAAAAATGTGAAACTGAGAAAGCCAAAACTGCCAGTCCAAAACATCTGCAGGGCACCAGCTTGGGAAAGGCTGCCTTAGATCTTGAGAGTATTTCCTCAAAAATAAAAAAATGCTACTTGTCACCATTGTCTTCTTGGACTGCTGCTTTTTCCTGGATGTGATATTTATTGATTTTTTTGACTTGATTCCATTTATGATTTGCTTCCCATTAAATACCTTGAAATGATTTCACAGGAAAGACACCAGCAATAAAAACAATGAAAAACAATCCCATGTGTAAAAATGATTACAAACAAATCCACACATACTGTGAAAACTATTAGTGCCATTTAATACATAAAAGCCACTGCTGGCACAGATAGGGATAAATATCATGTAGATTATTATTCCACCTACTTAAGCAGTACACAGCTCATTGTTGAATGAAGCAATAACTTGCAGTTCCGCTATCTTTGTGATGAAAACCGAATAGTTTTCTCAAGTTGGCTTCTAATTTGCTTAAATATTACACTAGAGTAGAGCCGAAACAAGTCAGGTTTTTGCAAAGCAAACATTTCGCCAGAGAAAAAAAAATACCTTTGATTGCCACAAATGTTTCAGCACTCCTTGCGGGGGAAAAAAGAGTTTGGTTGTTCATTTATGTTGCAGTCGCTCTTCTTCAGTGGTGTAATCGCATTGCCATGGTTATATACCATGTTGAGGAAACCTGAGTTGTTCTAGCTCTGCTCAAAGTGTCACATTTAAGCAAATTGTGTAGCCAACTCAAAAGAACTATTCCGTTTTCAACACAAAGATGGTGGAACGGCAAGTCTGTCCAATCTGAATGGGGAGGTGCTGCTGCTACAAAACTGCTCATTAGTTCTGAAATTTGATGATTCCTCTACAGTCTTGTGTTTCCTTTGCACTCAGATCAGTCTTGGGCCTTCTCCCACAGGAATTTGGCTGTGTCATCACTTCCTTCAGCATTCTAATATATCATACTAAGCTTTAAGCCAATTAGGAATGACTACTTACCATGCTGAATCATAGGTAGAGGAAAGGATAATGTGTCCTTCAGATAATGAATCCCCTCCCCAACTCCCTCCCCACCAAAATCCTGGTTTATTTCAACAAGATGGATATAGAGAGAGATTTTTGGCTTCACTCTTTTATTTTCACTGTATCCAATTAGGATGCTGCTTGCTATCAAGCCGCATCCATTTTTTTTTTTATGAGATACCTCTCAAAGAGTGATGCTGAAATGTCTGACCTGATATTAATATACTTGGTACTTACTTAGCACCTCTGCTCCTTTGACATCCTGTGCCTTTGAAGAGGTGGATAATGTTCTTGCACTTCGATGGGTTGTGAAAGTGAGGCACAAAGGGAAAAGATGGAAATCATGTTTCTGGTGGTGTGACTCAGATCCAGAGGTGTTGTAAAGGCTGCGTGGTGAGAGCCAGTGGAAGCTGAGAGCCAGTGGAAGGCCTTGGTTCTATTTAAATTATAGCATCTCTCTAACAACATTAGATAAGGAATCAAATTATCTGCCTTCTCTGTTTGCAGGTCAAGGTCCAGATTGTGGTGCCCC